TGGCCGTCGCTCCTCGGTTCAGGACAGACAGAGCTGTGAGGACAGTAAGTCGATCGCACATCCAGGAGACATCCTTCATTCCTCGATTGATTGGCTTCGCTGTGGCGTACATTTGTGGACCTCGCTGAAGATGCAACGCGATTATAGACCAAGCGTCGAATGGAAATGCCCAGATATGTTTAGCGAGGTTACAGGACCCGCAGAATTTGGGGTGCCGCTGATATGCTTCGGTGCAATCCCAGGGGAAAAGATCCTGGTACTTGTAAAGTGTACCACCAAATGCGCCCCAGTCGTACCAGTACTCCTGGAGAGTGTCCAGAACATCAGCCTCATCATGTCGACCGAAGTGGAAGCGAAGAAGGTATTCCTCGGTCAGTCCGCTGGGAACATCGTACTTCGTGTGGACTTGACTACGTAGATAGCCGTCCTGTGGACAAACAAAGCTCATAAGATATAACGGAGATGCAGCCCCCGAAGCTTGTCCTGTTGAAGCCGTTCCGACCAAGGGCTCAAACAAATCCATGTCAATGAGTGAGTCGCAAAACGATTGACAATTATTACCAATAGCGCTCCAGGTGAGAGTTGTATTTGGATCAAGTAACTTCCTCACAATGGCATTCAAATAGACACTGACCCTTGGCTCAAGAAGTTGCTTGAGTTTGGTCATTATCTGATTCAGCGCAGCGTCTAGACTCTTGCGCTGTTCTTTGGCGGGAAGTCCTGGATGGTCGAAATACCCACGACTAGCCGCCACAATAAGCCATATAATCTCAGATTCCTGCTCAACATCGGAAGATCCAAAAAGGGCACCGGTGAATGGTACCCCGACAACCTGCTTCATGATAGTTTTGTATCGTTTGGGAGTTCCGACGAGGCGCTGCTGCTGCCAAAGGCGTCTTTTAGCGTCGCCACCAATTGCTAAACTAGGATGACGAGAGCGTGGATTGCAGGAGTCAGGCCTATCATGAAAGGTAGGCAGTTCTCTAATAGTAACTAAGGCGCCTTTCTTGGCGCTGCAGTGGCGGTCAGTATTGCTTTCAGAAGCATATGTATCGAAATAGGTCTATGCTTACTTTGCGACCCCATTTTCAATGACCAGTGGCCCAACTCGTAAAGCCATGTGAACATTGCCAAAAGGGTATTGTTGGGCAAATTGACGACAAAATAACGGTATATCTTCGTCAGCCATGGCTTCCTTCACTGAAGCAGTGTTTGTATCTGGGTCACGAGCGAACGGCGCTTCCTTTTCTGGCTCTGGCCGCAGGGGCGGCTGCTTCGAATCGGGTTCTTTTCTCAAGATTACTTTCTTGGCTGGCTCATACTTCACCGGTCCAGCTGCACCAGCTGATTTCACTCCGAATCTGGTCGTTTTCTTGTCTTTCTTCATACGATCACGAACTGTAGACTGTAGACCGTGGTATTTTGCGAGGGCGACTCGAGTATTGAGTTCGAGTAATTTGCATCTCTTCGCGATTGGAATTGCAACATGCCTTTCTACTTTAGGGATTGGAAAGAGAGCACCTGGAAGTCCGGTGCTGTCAAGGCGAGAGACGTCTGCACAATGACACAAATCCCGACTCAGAGTAGGAGTAATGGCCTCGGCAAGAACGCAGTGCTTGTATACTTTGACATATTGTTCTCTGCCAAAATAGAGTTTTCGATAACAGTCCTCGCAGACAATGAGTTGTTTCGTATGATTCGATTTGCCACTATGGGTAAACATGCTACCTCGAATGATACTGGAGCAGTCCGAGCATTTCAGAGGCTCCAGCCTGGCATTCCAGTCACTGTCAAAGCCAGACAAAGTGACTAGAACTTAGTTAGTTATATGTACTTATTATTATTTGGAGAAAATGTGGTATTATGTCCATACGTTGTGGAATGGCAGGTCGAGCCCAGAAGCCAAGGTCTTCTAGGGGTGGACGGTGCTCAACCAGTTTGTCGATATCGAGAAGCCCTGCGTAGGGTTAAAGTCAGTTGAGATACTCTCAGACTGGCACCCTCTAGACTCACCCGCAGCTTGTAGAAGGATACGTGCCCGCTCCTGGATACCGGAAGATGATGCAATGTCTTTAAAAGATCTCATTAGTTGTGGGCAAGGAAAGCAGACAATGTCCAACAACCTTCAGTGTTCCTTCGCACTTCATCCTTAACATCAACGTTAGTGCTCTGATATTGTGCCTGTGCGAGTTTTGCTTTGCGTAAAGCCTCCTTGATCTCATTGTTTCTTATAACAGAAGGCAAAATCTTATCCTGGTCGGTTGTCCTCACAACTTTCTCTTCCCCTATATCGGCAGAAGAAGTTAGCCCGAGCTTGGTCGTAGTGGACAGACGAGCACACTACCATATCGTATCGCAAACGCCCGTGTTTCCTGAGTAACCTGATCGATAAATGTGTCAAAGCCGTGTACATTGCTGTCATGCTTATCATCCACTGCCACATCTGTATACTCTGATTGCTGCCAGGTTTTCAAGGTGCGTATGATATTTTCGAGCTCGAGCTTCACGCCATACCAGTACAGAGTTTCAAGCTCGGACTGCAAATGCACACTAGCAGGCCCTACAAGTTTCCATGGGGCTCTGGGAGCATGAGTAATGTTCGGCAGCGAAGATCGCTCGAAACGGCGTCTGAGGCGGATCCCGCTCAGGCAAGACATGGTGGTTGCTGCATGAATGGACTTTTCTTAGATGCCAGTGTGTGCCGAATTGAGAATTGTAAGATCGAGACCCAACTCCTCCACGATCTCAAGACATGATATGAAGGTTGAGGGACTGAAGCCTCCCGATACATTACCTGCGGAGTAGGTTTGTCGCTGGGTGCAAGGCTGGAAAATACGAGGATCGCCAAGGCCAGGCACCGGCCTCGTGCTTAGAGGCCGGGGGGTCCGAGGCTGTGGAAAAGTGAGGCTGGATGCCCAGAGTCGCCGAACGAGGAGACTTCGGAGTTAGTCCGCTGATTAATGTATCCTTTGAGAATGCGACCCTTTCTGCCAAATTGTCTGACCTTCTGAGCTGACCCTCGAAAACCGGTTAATTGTACCGTCCGATCCGATAAGGGGCAAAAACAGCCTCCTTCTAATCGAGATATTAGAGTGTAGCGGAGATGATGGAGGCTTTTCTGGCGTCACTTGTCCCGTTCTTTCGAAGGGCAATTCCGAGCTCGCTAAATGCTCGCCGCCTGGAGACCACATCGATTGATGCGTACTTCGCCTACTACGGGTACCGTAAGCGAGAACATGCTCTTATTGTCGTGCTTCTCAATTTCCTATATTTGCCTAACCAGCCACCAGCTGTCCCACCGTTTGCGCATAGTACTTTCGCTTGTGGACGGAAAGACGGCAGAATAGCAGTCTGTCGAACTCGGTCCGGGACACGGAGGCTGCGCGTAACTGCGGTGAGTGTTCCTGCAAACTTCCCAATCGCATAACTAAAACGATACGGGGCCCAACATGACTGTAAAGAGAGCGCGGTAATGGCCAGCAACCGTCAGCGTTATCGGAGAATGAATCAAAAGCTTGCTCGCATGCAGCATCCACATCTGCGACCACAAGGGAAGAATCATCGCGCGACCGTAGTAGATTAACAAGCGATAAAATGTAGCTCTTATCTGCTCTAGTGACCAGGTCGAACTCGTTGATGAGGTTCAAGCATAGTTTTGCCGGCAGGCCTCGGTGCCTGATGCCATCCATCAGCGGTAATGTGACTACTGGTGGGGCACCGAACGTGATGCAAGAGAAGTGCCTTGCGACCTGGGGAATTGTCTCTGAGATATAGTGGAGGAACAATAGTGAGGCTACGGCACCTCCTGCGGAGTGACCGGTAAAGAGAACGTGACTGCCAGTGTCAGCATGGAGACGACTGTAGGCTTCTATTCTCTCCAAAACGATGGCTTCTAGTGCCATTGCACTATGCAGAAATCCGGAATGTGCCTCTAGCCTTCTCTGTGGTGAGTGATCCTCGAGCTCAAAACAGGCAGGATTCTGATAGAGACAGCCGTTAGAATGATGACCGTCCGTGATGAGGGCATAACTATTGCCTTACGATGAAGTGACTCGCATCTTGTGGCTTGCTGTTGATGTTAACTATATGATCCACATTACTGGCAGTTCCTCTGATCGCGATGACCAACACAGGCAGAAGCTCATTTCCGCTTGATATATCCTTCAGATCCACTGTTGTGAAAGTAGCGGCCTTGACTGTCCCATTGATAGAAGGCGTAACTTCATGGTCATGTGTCAATACACAATTCTTGATCGTGCGGGGGAGGCGGATGGAAGCAGAATTGTAGGACTCAGTGGCGCAGTCCCATGCGAGTGATATGAGAAGAGATTGATCTTGCGAGCTTGAGTGCATTAGCTGGAGCCCTTTCCCAACCATAGAGGGGGTCCGGCTCTACCATGTCCACTTCTCGTCACATTGCTCAGAGCTCAGCTGCGCGTTGACATATCTGGATGCTTCATCATCCAAGCGCGTGGCCAGAGCCCGAGCCTGGGCACTGAGGTTGTCTTACAGCAATATTAGCGATGAGCATGCTATCTCAGGTTGGAGTCAAGTAGCCACCTTCAAGGTCAATGTCCTTGAGAGAGGCACCAAGAACATCTGATAGCTCTGCTGCTGCCACAGATGCGCCCTGTAGATTATCGATGGAGGCAGTTCCTGACGTCGGGGGAGCTGCAGAGGCGCGTAGAGCGGATGCGGTTGAAGTTGGATGGTTCTTAACTAGTTTGAGTAATCGCTTCATGTTGGTGGTATGCTTGCCAGCTGTGAGTAGTTCTCAATGACAGAGTAGGCGTTGAATCGAGTGACCAAGTTGATGATCATGCAAGAAATCTAGGTAGAGGCAAATACTGTACAGTCGAAAGTATGAGTACGGAGTACCGTCAGGGAACTTTCCCAAATAGGCGATGCCGAGGGCGGAGCGGCTCCATCTGCCATTCGTGTGTGGATTTCCCCACTGTTGATTCTAGTGTCGTCTACCGTCTGCCGTCTGCTGTTCACAATCACAGAACACAGCCTTGAACAAGAATCTTAATAAATTCAGAAGCAGTCATCGATCCCATCTCCAAACGAAAGCAAGAAGAAAAGAACAACAACAGGGGAAAAAAATGTCATCCATTGACCCCCACAACATCAACCTGATTTCCACCTTCCTCGCCCACGAGCAACTCCCCGCCGCACAGCCGCCCCCCCACGCAGTCGACTGCATTGTGATCTGCGTGTCCGCCATCCTCCATCAGGCTGAAGCGGTCTTCACATTCCTCGCCAACAACCCGCACGCCACCAAAACCCTCGTCTTCTGCGGCGGGATTGGCCACTCCACCCCTTACCTGTATGAGGCGGTGTTCAAGCACCCCAAATACGCGCATCTTGCCCCAGAGATTCAGGGCAAGGCAGAAGCCCAAGTGCTCCACACCATCTTCACGCGATGTTTCGAGGCCGTGGCCTCGGACTTCCGGAAGGCCGGAGGCACCCTGCTGGTCGAGGACCAGTCCACGAATTGCGGGCAGAACGCGATACAGACAAGGCTCCTGCTGGCGAGGAATGCCATCCCGGCACCTAATTCCGTAAGTATCGTCCAGGATCCCACCATGGCCCGAAGGACGATTGCCTCATTCGTCAAGGCCTTTGCGCCGATGACCCCGGATTTCATAAACTGGCCAATCATAGTGCCCCGGGTCCGGTTGCAGGAAGATAATGAGCTGGTGTACGAGGTAGACGGGATCCCTGCAGAATCGCTGTGGAGTATACCTCGCTTTCTAGGACTGCTGATGGGTGAAATACCGCGCCTGAGAGATGACGAGAATGGCTATGGGCCACGGGGTAAAGGGTTCATTGATCATGTCGATATTCCAGAGGGCGTTGAGCGAGCGTTTCATGGCTTAGAGCGCGGGATACTAGGATCGGAACTAGCCAAGAGATGACTCTGATTGGTCAAAGCTTGCTCTTTAGATTATCTTCAAGACTATTTCGACTCTTCATAATATGGTAGTCCCCAGGATAGTACAGCTATCGTAGGCAGAGTGCCCCTGACGAAAACGATGACGACATTCTGTATTACTCGGTTATCAAATTGCGGGACACAGGCGTCAAATATCAAGCGACTTTGGCGTCGCGAATGTGATGCTGGGCCGTCTTGGTAGGGCCTGAGCGCTGGGTGCAACACGAAGAACACGACCGGCACGTAACCCACTGGGTACTCGGCCGTCACTCACCCGACAGCTGCTCTTGAACAATGTCTTCTTTCCTGCTCGCATCAAATCAACCCGGAATTTCAGGGCAGAAGCTTTATGGTGATTGCTTGTTGCATGCATCACCCCGCCGCACGTACCCCACAAAGTCATCAGGCGATGCATCTAGCTGAGGGGGATGAGTTCCTGTTTGACATTTGCCGAGATGAACCCTCCTAGCCGCCCCTGGAACTAAATCCTTCGCAGAAATCACTATCAATTTGGGATGTGATCAGCGCTTCAAGCCTCGAGACGGATGCTCAAGTAGTGCTGACACCGGCTTGCGTGGCGGTATAATCAATCAGAATTCTCCATGAATAAGGAGAAGCTTGGGGTTTGAAGCCTCGATGAAGAAGCTTGACTCCGGTCACTCCACTGAGCTTCTGAGCGAAAGCAGTAGAGATCATCATCGAAAGGGGTTCTGACACTTAATGTCACAAGGCAGGAAGCCACAATCAACATCCGACAGGACGGAGAATCTTCAGCCTGCTTGAGTCTCAGCGCCTGGCGGGGGTGGAGGATGAGTATACGTTGTAGATTCTCCGGTGGACATGAGCCCTTGACCATAATCACCATGAAGGCTCCTTACTGCGATATAAAAGCTGCAGTTGCTGCGTAGGTTCTTGAGGAGAATCCCAAGAATCAAGCAAATCGAGGTTGCTCCCATTGATTCAAGTGAATCATGCGTGCTCTTTTCCTTCTTGCGCTGGGTGCTATCCCGGCGCTCGTCAGCGGTCAACTCTCTGGCAGTGTTGGCCCCTTGACCTCTGCTTCCACCAAAGGTGCGACAAAAACATGCAATATCCTCAGCTACGGCGCAGTGGCCGACAACTCGACCGATGTTGGGCCTGCCATTACATCGGCCTGGGCTGCATGCAAGAGCGGAGGTCTTGTCTACATCCCATCTGGCAACTATGCCTTAAACACCTGGGTCACCCTGACTGGAGGCAGTGCGACCGCAATCCAGCTGGATGGTATCATTTATCGCACAGGTACCGCCAGTGGGAACATGATTGCAGTCACTGACACCACCGACTTCGAGCTGTTCAGTAGCACCTCCAAAGGTGCTGTGCAGGGATTCGGCTATGTGTACCATGCGGAGGGAACCTACGGAGCACGGATTCTGCGCTTGACTGATGTGACCCATTTCTCTGTGCATGATGTGATCTTGGTGGATGCGCCTGCTTTCCACTTTACCATGGATACCTGCTCCGATGGGGAGGTGTACAACATGGCGATTCGTGGTGGCAATGAGGGCGGCTTGGATGGGATTGATGTCTGGGGAAGCAACATCTGGGTTCACGATGTAAGTCACGCCCGAGTGGCGATATGCTACTTCTCTGTCGCTCACGAGATGTGCACTCATTTAGGTTGAAGTGACCAACAAGGATGAATGTGTAACAGTCAAGGTAAGGCTTTCCCTTGCAAGCACGAATTGACGCGCTTGAGCCTTGATTGACAGACGGACCGCAGAGCCCGGCCAACAATATTCTGGTGGAGAGCATCTATTGCAACTGGAGTGGTGGTTGCGCAATGGGGTCGCTCGGGGCCGACACCGACGTCACCGATATTGTCTACCGCAATGTTTACACCTGGTCATCGAACCAGATGTACATGATCAAGAGCAATGGCGGTAGTGGAACGGTGTCGAATGTTTTGCTGGAAAATTTCATCGGTCAGTGCTGCTGCCTATGCCCCCACCTTTCTGGCTTGAAACCGTTAACTGATCCCCTTTATTTAGGGCACGGTAATGCGTACTCGCTCGACATCGATGGCTACTGGAGCAGCATGACTGCGGTGGCCGGGGACGGGGTGCAGCTGAACAACATCACGGTGAAGAACTGGAAGGGCACCGAGGCGAACGGAGCGACCCGACCACCGATCCGAGTGGTGTGTAGTGACACGGCGCCTTGCACGGACTTGACGCTGGAAGACATTGCCATCTGGACCGAAAGCGGCTCGAGTGAACTGTACCTGTGCCGTTCCGCTTACGGATCGGGATACTGTTTGAAGGACAGCTCTTCGCACACATCCTACACCACAACCAGCACTGTCACGGCGGCTCCCTCAGGATATTCGGCGACAACCATGGCAGCCGACTTGGCAACCGCATTTGGTCTCACTGCTTCCATTCCCATTCCGACCATCCCGACCTCGTTTTATCCCGGGTTGACCCCGTACAGTGCCTTGGCAGGCTAGTAGGTGTGAAAGCAAGGTGGGATTGATGTGTCACCGTCGCAGTGAAAGGAATGTCGGGAGAAGGAGAAGGAGAAGGAGAAGGAGAAGGAGGAGAGATCGTTGAATCGTTGAGTCGTTGAGTCGTTGAGATCATGGATCAGGCTGGTAATCGTTACCTCACGATTCCGTAGGTGTTTGTAAGTAAGTATGTATGTTATATCAATCAAAAGGAAGATCCTCCTTCGTATCTCGAGATTTCTTTCATGCAGGACTGGGAAGGAGGAAGTTTGAGGAGTTCATGTGAGCTGCAGTCGTCAGTTTCTCAGTCACTCATTGTCCGATCGCGCCATCCCTTCCTGGTCACTTCTAGCGCGCTTCCTTGCCTTTTTTTTTTTACCTTTCTCTCCCATCATCGTTCTCTTTCTCTTTCTCTCACTCCTCTCGCAGATTCTGACTCTTTGATCCCATTGCAAATATACCACCTGCATCTTTCTGGAAGCGATTGAGGAGATGGTGAAGTGATCAAGTGGAGAAGAGGTGAAAGTGGAAGCTGCACCGAGAATAAGCTTAATGGGAGTTCCCCGCACATCCTCTCCGCCGACCGACCGACCGACCGACCGACCGACCGAAGTATATCTCAACACTCACCTCCTTCAAGACCTCGATTTCTTCAACACATCTTGTATCACATCTAATCACATCTAATCACATCTAATCACATCAATTACCATGACCACGACCATGACCACGCTCTCCGCCAAGCCCAGCGAGTCACAGCCCTTACAATCCACCAGTCCACTATCCGAGCAGTCTTCCTATCCCGATGACGCCGCAGCGTCCGACTATCGCTTCAAGGCGGACCAGCTGAACCGTGCCATCCAAGAGATCGGCATGGGACGGTATCAATGGCAGCTCTTTGGCGTGATCGGCTTCGGCTGGGCCAGCGACAACCTCTGGCCCATCGTGACCTCGCTGATCCTGGTCCCGGTCTCCTACGAATTCCACGTCGGGCAGCCGCCGTTACTGTCGCTGGCCCAGAACATCGGACTGCTGGCCGGCTCGCTCTTCTGGGGATTCACCTGCGATGTGTTCGGCCGACGCTGGGCCTTCAACATGACCATTGCCATCACGGCCATCTTCGGCCTGATCGCGGCGGGGTCGCCCACCTTCGCCGCGGTCGGGGTCTTCACGGCGCTGTGGTCCTTCGGCGTGGGCGGCAACCTGCCCGTCGACTCGGCCATCTTCCTCGAATTCCTGCCGGGCTCGCATCAGTACCTGCTGACGGTGCTCTCGCTGAACTGGGCGCTGGCGCAGGTCCTCGCCAACCTCGTCGCGTGGCCGCTGATCGGCAACATGACGTGCGCCTCGGCCGCCAACTGCACCAAATCCGCCAACATGGGCTGGCGCTACTTCCTGCTCACGATGGGCGGCATCGCGCTCGTGATGTGCATCGCGCGCTGCGTCTTCTTCACCCTCTACGAATCCCCCAAGTACCTCATGGGCAAGGGCCTGTACGAAGAATCCGTGACGGTCATCCACGAAGTGGCCCGCCGCAACGGCAAGACGACCACGCTCTCCATCGACGACCTCACCGACGAAGACGGAGGCGACCGCTCTCTCTTCGCCAACGACAATAACGACAACGCAACCCCCATCCCGCAGCAACAACAACAGCCAGCACCAGCAAGACCCGACCAGCACCACCCCCTCCGCTTAGCGGACCACCTCCGCGCGCGTCTCTCCCTCCTAAGCCTAACCTCACTCAAAGCGCTCTTCGCCTCACGCCAGCGCGCGCGCACCACGATCCTAATGATCCTGATCTGGGCGCTGATCGGCCTGGGCTTCCCGCTGTACAACGCCTTCCTGCCCTACCTCCAACAGACGCGCGGGGTGCAATTCGGCGACGGGAGCACGTACCTGACCTACCGTAACTCGCTGATCATCAGCGCGGTGGGGGTGCCCGGCAGCCTGGTGGGAGGGATCATGGTGGAGATCCCGCGGCTGGGCCGCAAGGGCACGCTGGCGGTGGGCGCCGGCTGCACGGGCGCCTTCCTGCTGGCCTCAACCACGGCGCACTCCTCGGCCGCGCTGCTGGGGTGGAACTGCGCCTACAGCTTCACCAGCAGCCTGCTGTACGCCGTGCTCTACGCCTACACCCCGGAGATCTTCGAGACCCAGTACCGCGGCACCGGCAACGCCCTCGTCGGCGGCGCCAACCGCATCGGCGGCATCCTGGCCCCCGTCATCGCCATCGTCGCCGGCATCCAGACCAGCGTCCCCGTCTACATCAGTGGCGGCATGTTCGTCCTCGCCGGCTTGTTGGTTCTGTGGGTGCCCGTGGAGACGAGAGGGAAGATGAGTTTATAGGTTGGGGGGGAAAGCAGGCGCAACATACCTTTTGTTTGTAGATCGTTGAATATAAACCATCCCTGATACGAATTACTCAGGGCAAGCCAATAGGTCACGTTCTTCCGAGGAAGCAAATCGGTACTGTACTGTACATCCAGTGACAAAAAGATCCCACCCCAAAATAATGACCGAGATATCTTAAGCCATCACGGATTCCAAGAGAATATCCCAAACAACTCCCCGCCCCCTTCCTGCCCACACCACGACCGATGACAGCCTAGTTGATCCCCAAACTACAGACAAAGATTCCAAACCAAAAATGAAGAATAGCAGCACAAGCCACAGAAAAAAAAAAAAAAAAAAGGCGGGAGGGAAGAAAAACCTGCCACATTCATGCCGCAAACGGCCTTGGTTGAGGCACGCACCGCACCACTGCGGGCACAGGTACTGTACAGTACAGTAGTATCCCCGGATTCGGAATGTCCGTCCCACCACAGCTTCTTTACCACCCGGTCAGATAATCCATTAACCAACTCAGCGGCCTGCTACTCCGATTCATCAACCTCAAAACCATGATTCAATCCATGCTCTCTTCCTGTAAAGATCCTATTCCTGATTTCAGTTCTCTGGATCTCGGGGAGTGTGAGCCGTATGTAGCCTGAGGTTTTCTCGGAGGGCTCCGATCCACGGTGGCCGTGGCCGGTAGCCCTAACTGCTACGACTACAATTGCATGGAGTCTACGGATTGAATAAAGAGATTTTGGAAGACCACTACCTATCATGGAATACACTCAACCTCAGGAAAGACTGGACGTGAGAACTGGTGTATGTACCACACAACAACAGCTACTTCTCCAAAACTATTTACTTATGAGTATTTACAGCTCACTCTATCATACCCACAACGCTAAACACTGCAAAATCCACAGACAAAAAAGACCAAACGGGTCTATACAGGCTCTCTATAGATGCAAATGAGATGGTATATGCATGGTATATGCAAAACAAGATTAAACACAAGTCATGATCACATCAAGGCCTGTTGAGCTGTTCCTTCCGGTAGAAGAAGAAGAAACCCCAGCTATAAACCGCATTAGTATAATGTACGCACCGACTGAAGAGGATGTGATGACTTACGCTGCCAGAAGTTGAAAGAAAAGCGAAATCCAGAACCAGGCGTTCCCAACCTTGTCAACACTGGTGCCCACATCGGGCGAAATACCCCCTGGTCCAACCTTGTTCGGGGCAAATCCACGCGCAGCCATCGTAGCGATGGAGCCAAAGGCCTGTGCGGCCAAGAGTACAAAGCAAACGTGCACTCTGGTCAGAGTTTGCAGGAGGATCATACCAAGTCCGACTTGCTGAATCTCGTCGAGAACACCCAGCCAGAGCCAAATGGCTCGCGAAACAAGCGCACCGGAGGTAAGACTACCAGCCCAAGGGAGATACTTCCCGACATTCGAGGTTCCCCACCAGATTTGGGCCCAGCGGGGAGCACCCAAACTCAATCCGAAGACAGGGAGTGCCCAGGTATGCTCCTTGCCCAGGTAGCGGAAGAGAAGCATTATAGCAATCCAGAGCACGATGAAAAACCCAATCACAAGGACAACGACTTCCCATGTCTTCGCATGCTGAGAGGACCACAGGAAGGACCAATTGCGACCAGTAGCAGCGGCAAGGAACCAGTTCTGGATGATCACCATGAAGAAGAACCAGAGGACGATGCGGCGCCGGAGTAGTGAGGTGTAGAAGTCGAGGATACGGCTCGGTGCCTGACGGTAGTACTTGGGCAGACCCAGAGCAAGAAGGACACCGATCACGAAGCACAGAGCGGCAATGGGCATCACCACTGCGGTCAGGCGCCAGGTGTTCAGAGCGAGAGTAGAAACGCCGGCAACCTCGACCGTTGTGACCCTTTGACTCCAGTACCAGAGGGCGACGGTGTAAATTTGCTGAATACCCTGAATCATAGCGGCACGGAACATCCAATCCTTGACGGGGACTGCACCCTGATCACCAAAGTTGAGGGCGAAGAAGAGCGAGCCGCTGGAGGACGCGGCAGCATACACACCAGCAGCCACGTTTTGAGCCCATGCGCGACCAAGAGTAGAGGCACCAAACGGCGAAATGCCCATGACCACGAAAGCCATACAGTAAATAAACCAGGGAAGACTGAGGACGATCACCGATGGAACAGTGTAATAGAGGAACCACCAACAGATCGAAGACACACAGTAAATCGCGGCAATGACATACACCTTGGTGGCGGTTTCACCAACCTGACCGGCCAACAAGGTCATCTGCGAAGAGTTCGTCGCGATAATCTGCCCAAGACCAAGGAAGAGAGCGTAAATCGGCCAGTTTCCAATGCGTCGTCTCATGAATCGTTGCAGGAACATCGGGCGGCTGTATCCCAGACGAGCGAGCCATCGGTCAATCTCATCTTCGTTCGAGTTCGGCCCCGCGTCTGAGACACGGTTGTACGAGGTGTCCTGGACGAAGTTCTCGGATTTGGGCGAGGTCATGGGTCGGTCTTCGATATGCTTCTTGAGCTGCGCGTCGTTGTACATGTTGAAGAACTTGCGCTCACTCTTCATCAGGTAGGTCTCGATACAATCATCATTGATGGAGTTTTTGTCGTACTTCCTAAGACGCTCCTCAAAGCGCCGAGTGAAGTGGCCCATACTGTCCGTGAAGGTAGGATCGACCTTCTGTAATTCAAAGACAGGCTGGGTCTCGTTGCCATGGCTGTGGTCGCCCACAACGGAAGGTAGAGATAGAACAGACACATTGCGAGCGTGGGCGAAGGGAGTGGTCTCACTCAAGCCAGGAGACAAAGGCCAATCAGATGGTGTCGGGAGCGGAGAGGATGCTCGCGAGATCTGGCCAGGTGAGCCTGGCACCCCAAGGTGAGAACCCCGTCGGGGGCCGGCCAGTGAGAGTGAGCTTCCATTTCCGAGTGTCTGCCCGAGTTCCTGCGCCGCCAGAGTGCTATTGACTGCCCTCATCGCCTCGTCGGGCGAGATGTAGTCCGACTGGTGAGTAGCATCGGTTTCATCGTCGAAATCAGTCAGGTCATCGTCCTCCTGCTCAACAATTCTACTGCCGCGTGGCTTTCCAAGAAGTTTCTTGCCTTGACCAGGTCCAGCTCGTCGACCAAGAGAAAGCTTGCGGCCGAGGCCACTGTTCCTATTATCATCTGATTGCAATTCCTGTAGTCGAGACTGTGCATTAAGCATGACCTTCCCGGGGGAATTATCCGAGCCTCCTTCGGCCAACCCAGTAAGACTCAGCGTGGAGTTACGGGCACTCGGAGGCATGCTAGGTGTCTCCCAGTAGGTCTGCGATTCCGGCATAGGGCCTGCGACGGTGCTCTGATTCTTCTTGTAGTGAATCTGGATCGCGGTCCGTTGCAGTACTTCTAGCTTCTGGATCCATTCGAGGACAGGGAAACGCTGCTTGGCGGAGTTGGCACGCATCTCCTCACGGGTTTCCTGGTTCGAGTCGAGCGCAGACTTGATAGCCTTTTTCAATTGATGCAACAAGTGGCGTGTAGCATCTGATTCCACAGTATACCACCAACCTGGCATCTGGCCCAGCCCACCAATGCGAGATCCAATTCCCAGGGCACCCTTTCGACCAAACTCAACAGCAACCAGACCGAATGGCTCGTCTCGCGATGGAATAAGCGCAAAATCGGCACCCGAGAAGACATAAGGAGGCAGGATAGTAAACTCTGGCTTAGAGAAAACTCTTCCAGGGAACATCTCCATAATCCGCTGCAATTTGGTGGCCGCTAGCTTACCGTAAAGATCGATAGTTGGGCCTACACAGATCAATTGGACATTGGGTCTGGCGGATAGAATGGCCGGCATGACGTCTGCAATTAAATCCACACCCTTTTGTTTCGACCATCGGCCCACGAAGACGAGCAAATCAGCGTCACGGTCCTCGTTCAGCCCAGCCCATTTCTGCGCCTGCAACTTGTGCTCAATTCGCTCTTCGGTGGAAAGAAGTGGAGCGTCTGCGTTCTCATCCAAGGCAGCTGTGTCAGAAGGATCGGGATTCGGAAGACTGCCAATTTTTTCAAGACTCCAGAAGATCGGGTAACGAGCCCAAGAGCGTTTTCCGTATTTGTTGGACACGCCCACAGCTCCAAACCCGCGTTGATGGAATCGTAAGTAGCTGGCACCGGTATGAAGAAGGTTGAGCACGTTTCCGAATTGACAGTATTTGGTAGCGACCTCAACGGGAAGATTAAAAACAGAGCAGACTTCCTTCTTCTCTTGCTGGGTTCGCAATGGCCAGAGACCTTGGAATTCGGCATTATGCAGAGACAAACACACGGGAATGGTTTGACTTGGCAGAAGGTACAGAGGCGCCAAGCAGCCGTGGAAGTCGTTAATGTGATAAAGGTTGATCGAGGGGAATCGCTTGATAGTCTCGGCGATACACTGGTTCCAGGCCGAGTAGTAAATTGAACTCTCAAGGTCATCCATACGGGGTGGGTAAGGCTCCGCTTTCGTTTGTTGACGGAAGACCGGCGCGTCGAGAAGCACGTAGGTGATATTATCGACAATGTGATACTGGACGTTCACAAGATACGGCTTGTCGAGGATAGTGACGATGAAAGGTTCAGCAGGCGAGTCAGTGGGATAATCAATATCGCCAACGCAAGGAACAACCCAGATCAGGTTCTGGTGCTTCAGGTTCGCGGACATGAGCTGCGCCATTACACCAAGACCACCAATCTTAACCTTGATCTTCCAATCCTCAATGTTGTACTCCATGGTAGCGATTAGCACGGTCCGTCGCTCTTCAGGGACACCAGCAATCGCCACGTCCATCGGCCCTGATACGTCAGACATTGCGTGAACTGAGTCGTCGTCACTACCGAGCTTGTCCTTGAGTCGGCGCCAGAAGACTAGCGGCATTGCACCATCCTTGGTAGCCATATTACCGTCGGTGTTGAGTTCGACACGATAGAATGTCCGAATAAATAAGTAGACACCCACAAGTCCCATAAGAACCGGAATAACCCACAACAGGACGTAGAGCACAAGCTGCGCCCATCCCGATCCAACAGGGAGCAAGTCATATCGGAACGTGGCATCGTTCAAGGAGATGGTCCACCCGAGGTGTGGGAAGGGAGGCAAATCAGTGATGTTAATCACGTTGGAAGAGAGATATGACGGAGGAAGCTTCTGCACCACGGACGAGTTGTCGACATCGCCGTAAACCTCGGTCGTATCAGGGATACCATCTTCTCCAATACCCCAGACACTGATCTGTCCCACAGACGGCCACTCGGTGACAAAGTCGTACTTCCAGCGCTGTTCTTTCTTATCGTAACGCATCTTTGCATCTAAACCAGCATCGTAACCATACTGGTTGTATGGACCATTCCACCACAGATGAGGGAATCGGCGAGGCACCCCATCCTCCCAGTCAACATCACCTTCCTGCAGATACGAACTGCTGCCAGTGAGTCTGGAAAAGTATTGCACTTGAACGTGCGTTCCCTTCCATTTCTGGCTCTTCGTACCGTCGAATTCGAGTTCCTGGATAGTGGTGTTGCCACCTTCATATGTGGTCCAGTTGGACCAAGTCCGGCCAAAAGTCGTCGAGTAGCGAAACTGATCGGCACCCGCAGCCTCATGCTGCACAATAACATTGCCATTGTCGGACTTTTGCACCAGGGTAGTCGAGTAATTCATCAACGGCGAGATCAAAGGATTGCTCGGAGATCCGACACGGAACAAGAACCGGTCCACGGAATCGGTGTGAGTACCAGAGGTAGTGGAGACATTCTTGACAGTGATTTGATGAACACCATGGTAGACATCAGTCAGCTGAGCAGACCATGTCCAAATCGTGGGGATTTCGCCGACAAAGTTCTCCTTGCTTGTTCGCGCAGTCACATTAGTGCAGGTGACGGTTGACTTGTCCAATGAGGCTGTGACACCCTTGTGTGTCGTGGAATTCAAAGATACTGCTTTCGTGATACCATCGCAGTCCATCTCTTTCGAGTAGCCAAACGAGATGTTGACTGTCTGAGCCGTGTCGTCCATGGAAAGCAAGCGCACGTCGTGACCAGGAATGAACTCGGTTACGGCAGGGCGAGGCTCAACGAAGTCTTCGGCCTCAATGTAGGCACGGTATTCCCAAGGAAGCAGCTTCATGCCTTTGTAACAGCCGTAGTCCTGGCCACTGGGACCATCTTCCAACTCAAGCTCATCGTACGGATAGAAAACATTCTTCAGCTTTGAGCCCGATTTGAATGGAGCCAGCAATGCAGAACTTTTGTTGCTACAGTTTTCGCCGTAGGTCACTGTCTTGTTGTCGTTGTGGTAGACAAGCCAGATGGTATTGTTGGCCCCGTTAGACTCCTTTTGGACTCCTGGGAAGTAGCTTCGCAGCACTGACCAGAGACCAGTGACCGTCGGCGTAGTCGACGATCCAGGCAAATAGATATCCTGAGTGAGCTGGGAGATTGTCTCGAGGTAGAAACCATCATTGGCAACCGGATAGTGCTCGCGGACCTCAAACATACGCTTCATGACATTGCGAAGAGGGTGGGCCGGGTTCCGCTGGTCATACGTGACGGTAATATCATGGCACCCGTACAATCCCTTCTCGTTGGGAAAATCGTAGAACTTGGAAGTGTTCAGATTGAAGCAGCCGTGAGTCCACCAGGCAGTGTGGTAAGTCATGGGCTGCCGACCAAATAGATAATTCGAGGCTGTGGCATCAAACACGTACATGGCTTGCTCTTCACCCCACAAAACCAGAGGAATACCAGGAAGCTCCAGTGTGACAATGTACAGACCGAGGAGATACTTATCTGTACCATTTTTGACAGCAGGCCAGCGAAAGTTGTCCTGGTTTGAGACTCCATACATGTGTCGCGGGTCCAGCTCGCCTGTGATTGCGTTGATCATGTCGTTCGTCACCAACATGCCATTCCAAGCCTCGATGAAATCCGTGGGCAAGTCGAAACCGGCGACCAAGTTACCGTCCATGCCGAGGAAACGAGTCATCGACCGGTAAATTGTGTAATGAAAGGCAGCGGCATCGAGTGCCTGAAGCCCATCGTCTCGAAGAAAGTACTCATCCGACGTATTCGTCAATTTGACGGCGGCTCCTGCTGAGTCCGGTGTCTGATCAGGCTGACGGCCACGGCCGAGATAGAGACTACCGAAGGTATTTCCGGACGTGATTTCGCCAGGAAGGAAGAAATTCTTCTTTCCATATTTCTTTGCACATTCACGATAGACAGCAGTCATGTCACCGAGTGCATCTAGGGTCGACTGTACAGCTTTATCGAATCGAAAACCGTCAATATCGAGACTCGCAATCACAATGCATGAGTGCTGGGTGATGACATCGCGGATGGGTTTGTGCCATTCTCTGAGACGGTCCTGCACCGAGGCGAATTTGGTGAGTTGGCGCTTCCAGTCAGGGAAGTTACCAAACGCCTCCAATTCTCCGTACTGGTCAAAGTCACTATTGTAGCAGCCTTTCAGATCCTCGACACCTCCGCCTGTCAATGGATATCCGGTCTCGTTCCAGAACCTTGGGTAGTTGCAAGTCTCATTGTAGTCGTTTCCGAATTTAAAGTCTGCGTACTGTCTCTCTGAGATGTACTCGACTTCGTACTCTTTCGGGTTGAAATCGGCCGAGTCGTTGAGATGGCCTTTGAAACCGATCAAGTTACTCAAGCTGCGAAACGTGAGCTAAAATCCTTGAATGCGAGGGGTCTCGAGGGTGATACTCACGTTGCAAGCGTATTGTCCATAATCACATACATGTCACGGTCATGAATCTCGGTGACGGTCCGTCTCCAGTCCTCGAGTGTGCCGTGGTGCATGTCGAGAAGAGTGGTATCAACTGGGGAATAGCCATCGTAGGCCCAAGGAAGGTTCATCAAGGCGGTTCCAGCGAAGTAGATAGCCTAACCGGTCAGCAACGTCACACAGTACCCAATGTCTGTGGTTTTCCATACCTTGAACCCCATACCCCGGATGTAGTCCAGCGAATCGATCAAGCCGACCAAGTCGCCGCCATGGCGCATTTGATTCGAGTTTAATACATGTTCGAAGGTGGTTCCGTTAATGTCATCGTTGGCGGGGTCACCGTTAGCGATGCGGTCCAGGAAAATCGTATAGACGGGAAAGCGCCAGTTATCTGGCGAGGGATGGTAGTCGTGGCCCGACCATTCTCCCCAGTAATTGATTGGGTGTTCTGCTGATTTGTTTTCATTCAAGTTGTAGTCAACGAGGGATTCATCGTACGGCCAGCAGAATGCAGTGATGCTCAGCAACGATAGGATCAGAATCGCCGAGCGCTGCATTGCCGGGACGAACATCAAGAAAGTGGTCTGCACCGATGAATTGCGCGACTCAGGAAGATAAGAATAACACCGAAATTATCCTACATGCCCTGATTCCGGGGAAGCGAACGAACGGCGGGAAGTATAAGCCAGTAGAGAGTTGATATGAGGGAGGAGAAAAAGACGAACAAAACGAGTGACTTGTCGATGAAACCAACAGCAACGCAACAAGGATTATGATGGATTATGGCAGCAAAGGAGAAATCCTATCAAGCGGGCGAGATGGGGGAAAAAATGGAGCGCAGCTGGAGTGGTTTTGCTGGTTGGTGCCTCTCCAACTATGACGACGGCCGCGTTATTGTTCGACGAGGCGACATGAGACATCCGAAACCACCGACCCGCAGTAGGGCCGCGGTGAGGTGGGCAATCCAAGACATCCATCTCACTTTCGCCCATGATGGGTGGCTAAATTAAGAAACGTCATATCAGGATTTCATGATTGGGTGAATTGAGACAAATGTGTTTCTCATGATGGGGACTTGGTTTTGGTTTCCCACTTTCTCCCTCTCACTTCTGTTGCTGATGGAGGGGCCGGACAGAGTGTGAGAGCGAGAAACCCAGCAATCTCGGGGTCCCGCTATCAGTTCAACCCAGCATTCGGTCCAACCAGATAAATCAGAACCAGTAAATTCCTCATGGAAAAAGTTCTCTCTGTATCAATATCCACTCATGTCGCTTGTCGACCAGTCTGGGTTGTTGTCAAAACCCGGTCGGTTTGAGCCCGCACAGGTTCCATTTGCCGTATCTGGGTTCTCGAGATAAGCGTCGTCACCGACCCTATAGGCAAGAGGTATAAGACTCTAGGATCTACTACGGACGTCGAGCATTAATTATTCCCGTGTCAGTCTGGAACAGCTGTTGACTTGCTCAAATAAATGACTGCTGGGGTTGACAGCTCGCTGGAAGATTGGGATGGACCGAGAGAGCGAGACATGAGCGAAGTTATTCTGAGTGTGGTGACATTGGCGTGAAACGGCCATTTTCCCATGTCTTGTCTCGAACTGTTTTTTCTGTGACCGATACTGCAAAGCATTTCGTCTCATGATGCTTGTCTAGGCTAAGACTCTTGTCTTGCTTGGCCAAGTGAAAGACCTCGTGTTCCTAACAGTGTGAGTGAGGCGCAACATTGTCGTGTTGAAGGCGCCTCTGTAATTCAGGCTATTTGCCACTGCGCTATTATTGTATATCGGTTATCGTGAGTGCGCGCAAGAAATGAGAATAGTGGTGCCGCTTTTGCCCCCCTGGTAGACTTAGTACGCAGTCCTCCTGGAAAAGAGTGGCAGTGGACAACCGTGCATACATACATACGTACGCAGTCGCGTCGCAAGGTACGGAAGGAACAGCAAGTGCAGATTTTCGATTGGGTTCCTGTGGGGTGGGGGGGTCGAGGGGGGTCGAAGGGACAGGGTGTGATTGTGTGGGAAAGATGGAAAGGAAGTTCCATCACTCGGCATCCCGCGACTTGCCCGCCCCACCTCACTGTAACACTGACCATTCATTGAAGGCGCGAGCAATTGATTCTCAGGGTCCGGAAGAAGTCTCTGAATTTCTGAAAGTTTCTGCTTTGGAACCTGGAACATGCCACGGGTCAAAGTGGGCTGGCAGTCCCTCGGTGCTGTGCCCTGTGGCCCGGTGCCGTTGACTTGATTGAAAAGAGAAAGTGGTTCAAGTGGAAAGTCGGATGTTGGATTGTTTGGAGGTAGTGTGTGACTGGCCTGTTGGTTGTTGTTTGCTTCCATGCTTGGTCATTGCCCCACCCGGGATCCATATCAGTCCCGTGTTTTTAGTGCAAGCTAACTAACTAACCAGCCCTTGAAATAGAATTACTACTTAACTTGTTAGAACTAATCTTACTCAGCACTGGCTGGACTGGGACTTTTTCACCGCCCACCAGCCACCCACCCACCGGCCTTGAGTATTCGCATTAGTCAATCAATCACTGCCACTGACATCATCATCATCATCACTTGGAAAACAATTGCAGTGTCTGCGGAAAGTTCGGGAACTTCGTGCCTGTACATGTACCTGCACTGCGGACTGGCACACAACACATAGTTATATGGTTTGCTTTAGTAAGTAATTAAGAATTACATACATAGTCTCCATATGTACATCGTAAGTTTGTGTATCTATACAAGTTCTGTTTGTTTTGTTTGTCGTCATTCTTTTGCATACTGCATGCGCATCGGCATTTATATCCCCGGGATGAATGTACGTTCTTTGTCATTCTATAGATTGAGATGGGATGGCACCATGTCGGTCCACTTGGTATTTTGTACTCATATAATGAGGAGAGGAAAGAAAAACTAGAAGAAAAAAAAAAAAAAAAACCACATGCTGCAGCTCGATAGTAACAGCTATGACCCTTCTTCACCTGCTTTAGGGCCCCCTCGCCTGAAAGTAGGCAACTTGTAAGCTAGACTTAACTCAAGAAAATCTACTGCAGCCAAGAGTTCACGCAATTGAAGATCATGTAGCCCCTTCGCTTCAGTCTAACTACATAAGTTAAATCAGCCAAGCGAGGGAGCATATACTTCGCTATCGTCATGCCAGGATTACCTACCCTCGGAAGGTCGATTATATCAAAAACAGACACGTGACCTGTCAGGAATGAAACAGCATGAGAGGTTTAAGCTCTCCGCTTCGTATCGAAATGATGGAGTTCTTCTACTGAAAGTCAATGATCCATGTACACTTCCATTAGCAGCTGGCTACTGGGACCTGAGCCGACTTGTGCGTTCACTGAAACCAATTGTAACAACAGGAAGCTACCAGAGAATGAGGAGAATAGGCCTTTCGGAAAACCGCCTGACAAGTCGCGTACGTCTTTGCTTCTGGTGTAAGATTTCTAGTTCCCAGGCGTAGTCATTTCGGTTGATGGAGAGGGGGAGCCCGGTGTCAAGACCAGCAACCCCGAAGGTATCTGTCTAGAGTTCAGCTGAAGGTTTAGTCTCTGACGTTTCCACTGCCTGAAACCAGATGAGACCTGGCTTTTACTTTGATGAAAGCATTCGATAACTTGATGTCAAAAGACGAAATAATTCAATGAACACTCGACTTGCAGTGGTTGGTAGCTGTCATGGTCCCAGATGGCTGGATTTCCGGGAGGTCTATCCTTAAATCATATTGTTGAGTTTAACCTAATCAAAAGGTCCGTATGGGGCCAGTCAGTGTCAGTATGTGGGCCTGCTTCATGACATCTTCCACTCAATGCAATGAAACGGCTAGAGCGCCATTGATTTACATGACAGCCACATCCACGCAATAGACTATCGTAGTATCGCAATCCTCTTGATGACAAGCTGTCGGAAATGATTGACATGTTTGCTAGAGGTAAGCCACGCGGCTTGGCTGACAAGTAGATCGGCAAGAACCATGGCTGGGGTGGATGTTTATGGAAAGGTCTCCCTCTCGGATGAACCGGCATGATAATAGGTATACTTCTCGATGATATGTTGACAACAGCAGAATGCACCAGCGCGAATACAAGAGCTGACATTGAAAAGAGGTAGTTTATTGATTCGTCACATGAGATGCTGGATTTTCGGCCTCTCAACCGGGTATTCGCAAGCATAATACCAGATTTTCAATGGAAAACCCGGAATAACCATCGATGGAATTTGGAAGATCCTGCAATGTGGACAGGCCAGGTTGCTTTGGATTAAGGTGGCACGCTTCGAACGCGGGCTCGGTAGTGGCATAACCCAACAAGTATATAGGTTCAATGAAAGCAGGCAGACAAGCATTTGACACTCGCAAAGATCAACCTGGATCCTACAGGAACTCTGCACAATATGGCCCTGGGACCCAAGATACTTGATCGTAAACTTCGACTGGCATTGGACCAGCGCCAGCGTGAGGGGAGGCTCATTCAACCAGCTTCCCCAAGCGAAGTGCAAGGCACCATCGACTTTGGATCCAACGATACCCTGTCCCTGTCAAGCTCTGGCGCTTTGAGTGAAGCCTTTTTGCACCAGCTTGAGAAACATCCAGATTTCACAGTCGGGAGCAGCAGCACCCGCGTCTTTGAAGGTACCAGGCAGTATCTTGAAGATATTGAGCGTGACCTAGCTCTATTCTACAACGCTGAGAATGCAATGGTATTCGGCTCCGGGTTTGATGCAAATGTGGCCATTTGGTCTGTGATCTCGCAGCCTGGAGACATCGTCATCTTCGATGAACTTATGCATGCCTGTGCTCGTCAGGGAATGAAGAATGGGCGCGCTAAGGCAGTGCCATTCGTGCACAACGACTGTGCCTCCCTCCGGAATTGTCTCGAGACCGCCCGAGAGCGAAATCGCAGTATCGCAGAGGCCAAGCAAGTGGTATTTATCTGCTTTGAATCAGTCTACAGCATGGATGGAGACGAGGCTCCCATCCATGAAATCATCCAAGCGGCATCCGAATCCCTTCCCCTGGGCAATTATGTGCTTGTTATCGACGAAGCCCATTCCAACGGGCTCGTTGGCCCCAACGGATCAGGTTTAATCCATCAATATGGTCTGGAAGGAAAGTTCACTATCAGGGTCCAGACCTGTGGTAAAGCCCTCGGAGCATCAGGAGGTGAGAGTTTTAGCTTCATCTGCAACGCGTCCCACTAAAATACCTGAAGGTGTCGTTTTATGCAACAACACGATCAAGCAAACCTTGCTGAACTATCCCGGCAATGTGATATTCACAACGGCTCCCAGCTTTGTGACAGTTGCAGCTATAAGGGCTGCATATGAGCTACTGGCAAGTGAGGATGGTGAAAGAGTTAGTCAAGAGTCTGATCGATATATGGAATGAGAGAAGCTTACACGATCACAGCGTCGAGCGCGACTGCAGCACAACATCAAGTTTACCTACTGGACTTTGACAAACCACCCACAGTGGGAGGAAGCTAAGGACAGAGGCATCATTCGACTTCCAACAGAGACTGGCTGGCACTCTAGGGCATTCAGGTCCGCTATCTTCGCACTGGTAACACAGCCGGGCAAGGCGCGCAGCCTGGCGAAGCCCCTAAAGCAGGTCAAATTCTGGGTTAATCCAGTCGAGTTTCCGATTGTGCCGAGGAACCTGGACCGGGTGCGACTCATGATACATGCTGATAACACTGAGGAGCAAATCGGCGCCGTTGTGCAGCTTATTATGAGGTGGGCGATGGGACAAATGGAGTCGGAGACGACGATGAACTCGGACAGAATGGCACGACTATAGGCGGCAATGATAGAAAGCTCAGACAGGACCAGGGATAGGTTATAGGACACTAGGAGCAGGCGACACGCTCAATCTAGATTTAGTTCCGTGACCACGCCCGTACAGTACTCATACAATAGAATCCGTGATTCCGTCCTTTACCCTTCTTCAACCTCCCTGCAATTGAATTTCTCCGCAACGACGACGACGACGACATAGCTCTGAACAATGCTAGCGCATCCTACATCTAAACAAAGGAAGAAAGACTAGACTGTCAAGCGAGGTCTAGAAATCCGGCGTAGGACTGTGGTTGGGTGCAAGCACCGGCGATCATCGGAAGATGACTTCCATGACATCACTCGTTCTCTCCACCATTTCAGATTCAGCCCAGTGCCTACTGTTGCGTCGCAAACATGATCCACTTCTTGTGCCACTCCCCTGTCTCTACAGCATCATTATGATGCAAGTTTAGCCCACGTCAGGCCATTGTCTACAAGATGCTGTGGTATAAACCGAGCTCGTTCCTGCCCAGCATTAGCCAAGCTTCTTCCCCAGATTCCTCATACATTCCGCCAAGATTAACCAGCCGCCCATCATGTCTCCCCACCAAACCGATCAGAAAAAGCACCACACTCCCCGACTTCACCGGTAAACCATATCCTCATTACCACAAATAATCCAGCCCAGCCTCTAATCCTCTATGTCTTAGTGTCGGAAAATGGATGCCCTCCACCCTGGACGAGCATCATGAATGGGTCGGAGGTGTTATCGCCCACGTCGACCGCAACAAGCCTGAAGAGCTTCACCCGGTCCTAAAAGAATTCCAAGAACTTATCGAGTCCAACACGAGGGTCTACTTGCTCATGGCCGCCATGTTCGGCGAAATCCCGCGCAACCGGACCTACGCGACGGACCCGACCGGCTGCCCACAGCTACGCGACTACAAGCACATGCTGGAAGTTCTCAACCATCTCATCACTACTGCCCCCTCCTGGAACGACTTCTCCCACCGCGTGGGCCTTGTCGGACTGCCCATCAATGCTATTCTTGACTGGCCTATGGGTACCCCCTCCGGTTACGCCGCCTTCCTAGACCCCGATGTCAACCGAATGCTTAAGAAAGTCCTCAACGCCTGGGGTGAATTCCTCAAGTCCCCGGAGTCTGCATCCGTCCTCGACGACTCCGCGAACGGCTGGTTTGGCGAGACGGGGAAGTCCGACTTGGTTGAGGTGGCCAATCTGGGCGGCAAGACCGACCACACATTCGAAGAGATGTTCATTTGCGACCCCTCCGCTCCTCACCACGGCTACAAATCCTGGGACGATTTTTTCACGCGCCTTTTCCGGGAGGGAATTCGGCCGGTTGCTGGTCCCGATGACGACAAGATTATCGCCAATGCCTGCGAGTCCAAGCCTTACAAGGTCGCGTACAATGTCAAAGCCCGCGACACCTTCTGGATCAAGCACCAACCTTACTCGATCAACGACATGCTTGCCCTCGATCCCCTGGCGGAGCAATTCAACGGCGGCACCGTCTACCAGGCTTTCCTTAGCGCACTGAGCTACCACCGCTGGCACAGCCCCGTCTCCGGCAAGATCGTCAAGGCCTACGTCGTGGACGGCACGTACTACTCTGAGCCCTTGTTCGAGGGCATTGGCGATCCGAACCCCACCGAGAAGCACAAGCACGGTATTGATGCCTGCGGTGAGGTCACCTCGCAGGGCTTCCTGACGGCCACTGCCACCCGCGCCATCATGTTCATCGAGTGCGACAACCCAGATATCGGCCTTATGGCCTTCTTGGGTGTGGGCATGTGCGAGGTGTCGACCTGTGACATCACCGTCAAGGAGGGCCAGCATGTCAACAAAGGTGATGAACTCGGCATGTTCCACTTCGGTGGCTCGACGCATTGTCTACTTTTCCGGAAGGGCGTCAATGTTCAGGGCTTCCCCTCGACTCACACGGATCAGAATGTGCCTGTCAGAAGCCAGGTGGCTTACGTTGCTTAATTTTCCCGGCTTCTGAAACCAATACGCATGGAGCCTCTGATTAGCAAGACGTGTACATACTTGTGATGTTAATGAGCGATGCTTTACGATACATATGAGGAATTAAAGTACATATTTCGGACCCCGTGTTTTGTATGGTATGAGAGCACATAAGCTCAAGCTATCAGTAGAGTAAATGTGAACAAGGCCGATGGCTCAGGTCAACTGGCACGTGTTAATTCTAGCCAAATATGGAAATAGCCTGGCTTGACCTACGGGACTCTGGCTGGTCTTTACGTCACACGCTTTTGCCCAAACGGAGAGGGCATTCCTCTGCAGTGCTAACTGAACTGCTGTGTCATTCTATGTTTACTCAGATGAGTTCTGATTCACGTTTACTCTCTCAGATGAAACAACATCGCGAGCCCCTAAGGTCAGCTCCAAACATTGGAATCTACCGACGCAGGAGAACACTAGATTATCCTGAGGTGTGCCACAGGTGACGATAGCAATGGTTATGTCTTCGGCATGAAAGTCTCGAATCAAGCAACGACGCCAGTATCCCACGCTGCCTATCACTCCACATGACAGAGTGGCTTGGCATGAGTTATCTAGATTGAGTTCAGCCAGTCGGCGTTGCTTCCCGTCGAATTGGAGGGTTGTAATTCTATAAAATCTTGTGTGAATCAAGGTTTTGACCCGATTCTCCAGGAGCCTTGCATGCCAAGTTCTCACCACTATGACTTGCTCGATCGTACTCTTGAGCAGAGCTCGGATGATACGGGTGGAGAGAGCAGGATGGAGGGGTATATCATGGTCCGCTTCACCGTTCCTCGTTCGAAGCATACAATGTCGCTCCCACAAACACAATGCCAAAAAGACATCCGTACGCTCGCGTCTCATCCTGCTCTTCGAAAACGCTGATGCATAAAGAGCTGACCAGATTAAAGTTACCATGCCGGGAACTATGCTCCCATTCACACTACCCTAAAACTCCGGCCCTGTCCGTCTGAAGGCGCGATTCCCGAGGAGTTCCTTGGAGGGCAGTACGTGCGCAACGGAAGCAACCCGCTCCAGGTCGATACCAGCCGAGGCTTTCATTGGTTCGATGGCGATGGGATGCTCACCGGCGTGTTCTTCGAGCGCATCGCGCAGGCCCCCGGTGTCCGCCCTACCTTTGCCAATCAATATGTCTTCACCGATGTCCATGACGCTGTTGCAAGATATCCCCGGCTTCATCATGTCACGCCCAGCGTGGCTACCTTGATCAGTCCAAAATCGTCGGTTTTTCTCGTGCTGATGGAGGTGGTACGAGCGATGAGTTTGATTGTTGCCTCGCTCTGGGGTCTCATCGCTCGGCCCATCCGGCGGACCAGCACTGCCAACACAAGCGTTGTGCATCATGATGGTCGAGTTTTGGCCACGAACGAGACGGGCCCTCCTATGCGTGTTTTCCTGCCATCGCTAAAGACTGTCGGTTGGTTCACTGGTAGTAGAGCGGAAGGAGAGCCTACGGATGAGAAGCCTCATCCAGACTTTGGCGGACCAGGAGTGGAAGGCTTCTTTAAAGAAATGACAACGGCTCATGTAAGTAGTCATTTCTCCTGATCGGATCCGAAACATGCTCACCCAACTCGCCCTATTAGCCCCACGTTGACCCGCAGACCCAAGAGATGTTCCTCTTCCATGCGACCTTCCTAGCTCCATTTGTCACTTACTCAATCATACCAGCCAGGAGCTCGTTTAACCAGACGCTTTGTCTCAACCAGCCCATCCCAGGATTTCAGGGAGGTAGGATCATGCATGACTTTGGCGTATCGCGCAAACACACAGTCATGATAGATCTACCAGTATCATTGGATCCGTTCAATCTTTGTCGGAATCGGCCAGTAGTCGAGTACAACTGGCGTGGCCAGACACGCTTCGGGGTGTTTCCCCGGTACGAGCCCGAGAAGGTAGAATGGTACACCACAGCGCCCTGCATGATTATGCACACTGTCAACACCTGGGATGAAGAGACCTTCAATGGAACGCGGGTCCATCTGCTTTTGTGCCGGATGAACAGTGCCGCTCCGCTCTACCATATGGGCGGCTTGGAAGCTCCAAACATAACCATCCCAGAAAGCCCCGAATGCCGCCTGTACTACTATCAATTTCCACCCAACAAGGAGAGCCCGAAGCAGATCTCTCACCAGTGGGCATTATCTGCGATTCCCTTTGAGTTTCCACACGTGCCACATCGCCTCCAGATGGCACCGACTCGCTTCGTTTATGGGAACTCGATGCGAAATGGAGACTTTGCGGAAGCTTGTATCAGCAACTTCAAGGTTGAATGTCTTGTGAAAATCGACGTGGCGGCTCTGCTTGCGCGAGGCCTCGCCGATCCTCCGTCGCAGGTGGATGGCTGTGTGGACAAGAGATCTGTCGCCGAGGTTCTCACATGCGATGATCCAAATGATCCCATCAAAGTCTTTGCCTTGCCTGATGGATGGTATGCACAGGAGTGCTCGTTTGTTGCTCGCAAGGATGGTCAGTCCGAAGACGATGGGTGGCTCGTCACCTACGTGTACGATGAATCGCAGCTCGATGAAAACGGCATAGCACCTGAGGATTCACAGAGCGAGCTGTGGATCATTGATGCCGTGGACATGAAGGAAGTAGTAGCTCGCGTGCTCTTGCCGCAGCGTGTACCGTACGGGATGCATGGTAACTGGTTTCCTGAGGAGCAGATTCTGGGTCAGCGAGAGGTGGAGCGTTTCCGGAAGTGAGTTGCAGTGAGCTAAAGACGTTTTGAACTCTTAGCATATGCTATACGTATTCATGCTTGTGGGTTGTGTACTCGCGGAACTGTTGGTTGCAAATTGGTATGTTTGTTTATTTGTTTGTTTGTTTGATGGTCAGGTACTGTACATGGCACAATTCCAAAAACCAATTGCCTCTTTCCACTTCTCTTTGCTCCACCGAGCCATGACACGACACGTTCATCACTACCTCTCTACCATGTATGGCTTAGGCTTTCTGCTTCGTTTCCTCGGATAATCAATCTTCTTGTGTAATCGATTAAGATTTTGTGATGCAGTGCCACGGCTCAGCCCGGACGCCATTCGGCCTGCTTGCGGGCCGGAATAGTCATGCCTTGAGCTACACTTCTTTTGACACGGTAATAGGCCCCTTCAACGTTCCAGGAACCGCTGCACTTGGATTTATAGATAGCTAAGACAGCCAATCCAGAAGAGGACCGCTTCGAAAACTGCGACATACACTTTACATGCTCAATCGTGACGTCGCTCGCTCTAGCAACAGCGATCAGGATCTTAAACAGCACCGCGACAAGAGAGAACTATGACCGTTCACAGGATCTGAAGTGCTGAATGACCGACATCATTACCGTCACCAATCGGTTATCACACCCAATATCCCAGACAGCATTCCAGGCATAGTGCCTGGACTCCAGTCTTGGTCTAATCCGAATCCGGAGAACCTTGAGATGTGGCGCCATAAACCTTCAAGCCAAGGTGACCTAGCCGTTAAGCTGCTCGGTGTTGAGCTACGTTGATCTCCACAATCCCAACAATTGCTCAGTGGTCTGCATGAGTGCAGTGCAAGCACTTGCTTGTAGGTTGCCGGATGTCGCCAGTGCCTCGGAGCCTGGAGGGGACTCCGCTTGCCAAGGATCCGCTCCCCAGTTTACTTTGCCGATAGAACCATTCAGGTTGTTCCCCTCGGCTAGATAGAACCATTGGCCTAGCAAAAGAATATTCCATGACCACGCCAAAGACTATGGTTTGCGTTAGCCGGTTCCGCCACATCCTGTTGCTGGGTAGATCCGGCCAATCTGCATTATGTGACTTCATGGTCAATCCAAGGTACCCCGGATTTCGCTTCTAGGTCTCTCTCAGCTAGTGTCTATGCTGCAAGCCCAGCTTCGCTTCAACTCTGAACCCACTATCGCCTTCTATTGCCGTTCCGATTACTCCGAGAAAATGAGAGAAAAACATGCACGAGCGCAGTGTCCTGGACAAATCCGGCGGTCTAGCACTATAAAAAGATAGCTGGCGCCCTGATTTTTCCTGGCAGGTCTACATTCAGTGGCTGTAGCTGGATTTCCTCAAGATGCAACTTCAGATTCTTGCGGGGACCCTGCTGCTGGGTCGTCAAGCTCTTGCAGTGCCAGCTCCACTAACGACCAGCAAGAGCCATGTCCCCAACATTGACTCTTTGGGTACTCTCCAGGCCTTGAAGTATAACGACTTAGGCCCTCAGAATAATGGTACAGCCGCGGTTCTTGTCCATGATCGTCTCTCGAGTTTCGAAGCAGAGGCCCGATGCCAATCTATTGGAGAAAAGCTTTACCAAGCGCAGAAGATTTCACAGGTCAATGGTACAGAGCTAGCATACCAGCTTGACTATCTCGTTCATGTGCAAGACGTCCAGTTCGATGAAAAGTTATGGGTCTCTCAAGCTACTCACAACGATTGCCGCGCCTTCTCTCTCGAGCATAAGAAGCTTGTATCGGTGTCCTGTGGCTCTAAGTTACCTGCCCTTTGCACATCCAGTGTTGCTCCTACGACGGACCAGGATAGAACAGCTGTGAACTCATCCAAAATCTCCATTGAATCCGATGGGTATCGTTTGACTGGCTATCGTGACGGACGGTCGTTTCGCTTCTTGGGTATCCCCTTCGCCGATGCTCCAGTGAACGATATGCGCTTTGCACCACCGCGCCCATACTCTGGGCCCCGTGATATCGATGCAACGAAGATGGCCAATTCCTGCATCCAATCTGTGTCAGGCTTTGGCACCTTGGACAACGGCGGCATATCCGAGGATTGTCTTTATCTGAATGTCTACACCCCTATCCTCCCTGCAAAACCAGCCAAGCACTCTAAGCGCAAGCCTGTTGCAGTCTACCTCTATGGAGGGGCGTTCACTGCGGGGACCTCAGCTATGGTGGACTACGACGGAGGCAACTTCGCCAGCCGCAATGACATTGTCGTTGTCACGCTCAATTATCGGGTCGGTGCCCTAGGCTGGCTTACTATCGGCAACTCAACGACCGGCAATTATGGTGTCCGGGATCAGATCATGGCCCTGAAATGGGTGAAACAGCACATCAAGGCATTTGGTGGAGATCCTGACCAAGTCACAATCTTTGGCCAGTCTGCAGGTGGCCAGAGTGCGATTGCCTTGCTTTCTTCGTCCGCAGCCCAGGGCCTCTTCAGCGGCGCCATTGTTCAATCTGCCCCTGTTGATCTGCCCTGGTTTACTCGCGGAGTCTATACCGACATTGTTACCCCTCTCATCTCCAGTGCCGTAGGCTGTAACGGGACCACGTCTGAGAGCGCTCTACTTTCTTGCCTCCGCTCCGTTCCAGCGAGCAGGTACCTTGACAACAGCACAGAGTTTGAGGCCGCCACAGCCGCGACCGCAAAGGCCCTCGCTACCGGATGGCTACACTCCAGCGACCTCCTCGCATCCATCGAGCCCATCCTCCCAATCGTCGACGACACCGGAAGCGGCGTCATCGATGATCAATTCCACACCCTTCTCTCGGAAGACCGCCTCCCCAACCGTGTCCCCGTCATTTTCACCACCGTGGCCGACGAGGCAGCCCTCTACGTCGACGCCGAAGTCACCCAGAGCATGGGATCTTCCGAAGTGGCCCTGGCGGAGATTTTCAGTCTCGCATACCCTTCCTCGCTGGCCAAAGCCCTGATCGCCTCCGACGCCTTCCCCACGAACCCCAACGCCACCGACAGCGTCCGTAATGTCGCCGCCGATGCCCTTACCCACAGCGAATGGACCTGTCCGCAATCCTACCTGTTGAACCTAGCCACCACGAACACAACCACCAACACCACCCTCCCCGAGAAACAATTCCCCCACCTCTACCAATTTTCCATCCCACAAGGCCACATCCAAACCACCGTGGGTACGCCCGCCATCTGTTCCCCAAACCAGGACAAGAATGCCACCTGCCACTCCTCAGACGTCCTCCTGGTCTGGGGCACGCTGAACAGCAAGACCGAAAACGTCGCCCCTTACTACGGCCCGACGGACATCCAGCACTCGCAGCTCCTGAACGACATCTTCGCCTCATTCTTCCGCTCCCGCAACCCGAACCCCGATGTCGAGGCCCTGCAGCTCCGCGGCCCCGCCTACCGCTACTCGTACGAGACCTTCGGGTCCCGCGGCTACCGCATGCCCGAGTACCGCGGGAACGAGGACCGGGTCGTCGCGTCGCTAGGCGTGGTCCCGGGCGTCACGGTGAACCCGGGGCGGACGGCCAAGTGTAGGGTCTTCGAACAGCAGGGGTTCACCTTCCAGAAGGCGGAGCTGACTGTTTAGCTTTGCTTTACTGGATATATGTCGGCCTCGAGGTAAATCATATGAAGACTCGAGTAGTGATGGGCCTTCGAGCGGGCTTGTTAATGCTGATGATAGATGTAGATAAGATGATTTGATGTTTATTTGGTATAGTCTAGTCAGTGTTACTTACTTTACTTAATGCGCAGATGAAGGACGATGTACCTTAGCCCATTGACACTACCCTGGTCACGGAAAAGATATTGCAGTAATTTCCAGAAAAGTGTTTACGTGCTCCTAATGCAACGCAGAGTGTACTCCTCACTTTGTCGGTGAACACATAGTAGAAAAAGGGCCTCGGAGGTGAGGTTTCCAAGATAGTCGCAAACCAGTAGCGAACAGCAAGAAGTAGCTATATATAGTCTTTACCACCATTTATGAGTATGAAATGTCAAGGAACTACGTACAACTGTGCGCAACTATAACTGAGGTAGTTTATGACCAGTAACCTGACCTAACTATTAGCAACTAGCCTGAAATTATATATTGGTTCAATCAATGGAAGTTGAAAATATACATGATCGGCTTAATAAGGCAACAAGTTTTAATATAAGTTGAACACGCATTACTACTCTAACAAGCTAGACGATGGCTGAGAATGGATATAGACTGGCTACTAAATAACAGTTAACATACGTAGTAGTTGCAACTATCAGCAACCAGGATAATACTATCCAAGTACCGAGTCCAGCGCCCGTTCTACTACGTGGGCATTCGCGATCGCTACCTGCCGCCTGCCGGGACGCACTACATCTTTATTTATAATTAACATTTCCCTTACACCCATAAAGCAGCGCGGCGTCATGCTATGTCTTCGGGCATAATCTCATAATTTCTACTATGCTATTTCCCATGACCGTTTGATAGAGTATCAAAATCCAATAAGTCCCGGGGCCCTTTTCTAGTCTTGCAGATTTCATAAGCTTATACTGTCGTAACGTCGTGATATCATAGAAGTGGTGGGTCTTCCTCCAGCTCAACGCCAGAAGAGAGAGAAGGAGCGAAAATGTATGGCGAAAGATCGCCAAGCGCCCACTTGAAGAAAAACCAGACAAGCCTAAATGCTCTATTACCCAGAAACCGAAACCGAAGAATTATGACTCTTTGCCATTCGCCAATGCGGAATGTCAATGTCGATATTGCTATGCCTGGCAATGCTCATCATCTTAGATGATGGCAGATGAAGGTTGGACTGGAGAAGGAGATGGGGTAAAGTTAGTAGATTCTGGATATAGCCGTGGTGGATCGTGGAGGATCAAGGCCACTGCTCAGAATTACACCGTAATATAGGAAACCGACACTCGTCGGACGGGGAGATAGTATCTGAGTCGCGGACCACCATTTTCTTTATCGCTCATACATAGACCGTCTCGATCGAACAGCATATTCCATGTCTGGCATACCCACTGGGATGCCCCTCGTGGGCGGTGGAACAGGGTTGGCCCATCTCGGTGACCGGTATGCTCCGCCATCATCTCGCCCAGAATAACGCGCCGAGTGGTCGGAGACACCGGGGTTAGGGTATCCTGGATTTGCGTTGGACGCTCGGTAGCTTCGCCGCGTCTCGTCGACAGGGACGCGCATGTCACCGTCAGGGTGGACACGCCCGACGTACGGGCGGTTAACGTTCATGTTCACATAACGAGGTGGCGGTGGTGGATGCGCATGAGAATGGGGATGGGGATATCGAGGTAGTTCCTGGTTGATCGGCATGACGGGAGGGTCGTTGAAGGCAGACTCGTAGAAGATAGGGCCCGGGGTCCGGGGATGCATGATTGGCTCTTCGGCGTATGCACGTGCCGGGCGGGTTCTGCGACCCCCATCGGAGTCATATGGTCGCCCTGAGTGAGAGTTCAACGTCTCGCGGTGGGTATAGGTTCGTCGCTGCGCTTCAGGAGAGAGATCACGCGGGGGTTTCCGTGCATATGCTTCATGTGAATGCCGACGGGCATGGGAGCTGTGCGAATGCGAGGGACGCAGATGACGGCTGTTATAACGGTGGGCCGCCTCTTGTGCTGCAGCTATTGAATCCTCTGAGGAGGCATCTGAGGGATTATGTCCCGGCACAGTAGTTGGACTGACTGGGCGTGAGAAGGTGGGCCCGCGCTCTCGTCCTCGGGCCTTCGGAGATGACTTCGCCCACATCGGTGGCGAGGGCGCTCGGGGTGAGGGCGACGCGAATTCTGGGGGAGGTGGCGGTGGACTGAAATAAGTGGACTGTACTCGACGCGTCGATGAGCTGGGAACCTCCCCGCTGCGGCGCCTTTGATGACGGCTCGAAGGTGCTGGTTCTTCCGGAGCGACATGGGCCCGTTGCGCAGTTGTCTTACGGCGACTTGGGAACGTTTTTTTCTCCTTAGGGGACGGAGCCTCGTCCTTCTGGTGGTTGCTGAATTGAGAGTGGTAGGTACCAAAACTCGGAGGCGATGCACGGAGAATGTTCTTCTTCACATAGTCCATCTCGAAACGTCGGCTGACTGTCTCGTGCCACTCCACCATTTCTGGGTCTGGCGATTCGGGGAAGGCTCCGCGGGGAATCGTCTTCGGAAATGTGCCGCCGCTAGGATTTTCAATATCCCAGAGCTCAACCGCATTCTGAAGGTATCGGCAATGTTCGTCCGGGTCTAGAAGCAATTGGATTGTTTGCCATCGTACGAAGCCGTTGGGTTGTAGCGCGGGGATTGCGGGGGGTTTGTATGCATCGTTCGTGGGTTGGATACTGTGGAAGCAGCCGAGGCGCTGGTAAATGAAGGAGAGAGCAGAGGGCTTTGTTTGGAGAAAGAGCACATCGTAATTTCCGCCGACCTTGCGATAGAAAGAGGCCAGGCGTTCGGGCGTGAGATCAGCCGTTCCGTAATCGTCGAAAGACGACTATTGAGAAGCCAAGAATTCAGCTTTTGTTTCCCGGTCGCATACAGTGTCTCAAGCTCCGACTTACAATTTTATGAGCAATTTCTAAACAGAGCTGTTCAAGGAGCGGGGCTGGACTCTTGTCCGAGTTGATCAACACTCCCCAGAAACTCGCGCCCGGATCATGGGCGGAACACATGGCCTAGCTACTGGGATTGGGCGCACGGGAAGGACATCTGGCAGCAGCAGCAGCAGCAGCGAAACAATGAGCGGAGCATCGATGGGACCGATGAGGTAGAAGAATGGGGGAGGGGGGGTGGAAAGCAAGCGGGAGGGGCAAGGCTGAAGAGGAAAGTTCAGCAGACTGAATAACAAGATGAGTGTGTGCGTGAGTGAGTGAGTGAGTGAGTGATGCTGTAGGCCCGCCAGCAGCACCTTGCGATCCGCCTGGCGCATTGAATCCGGTTTAGTGCGCGGTCAGTCAATTCAAAATGACAGGCAACGCCCGGGCGGTCAGGCACCCATTCGCTGATGCTCCACTGCGGGGGAGCCCAAAAGAGAGAAAGTGGTTCAATGCTGTTGTTTGTTGGCACTGGCAGAGTGTGAAGTCGACAACTCAATCCGCCTCATCTGTAGAGAACGCGGAACGAATCGAATGAGGGTGGAGACGGAGGGATTTGACGCTGGACGAGAGCCGATGCAAACCAGATCCATGATGCTGCATGAAGCCCAGTTGGGGAGAACTAGCACAAGCCAGCCAGTCGAGATTCTCCGTATACATACCGTACAGTAGGTAGTAACGTTATACCACAAACACCTGGATGAAGGGACTAACTAGACTAACAAACCCGAATGAGTGGTGAATGCTTCCCTTCGCAGGTGACTGGCCAGACAAGCAGCGAAAGGGAGGAGTAGGGAAGGGGATACTGACGGACATTCCACGGCTGTATCACGATGCGTCATCCATCATTTTTTTTTTGCTTTTGTTTTGTCTTTTTGTCTTTTTGTCTTTTTCTGCGTAAACTTTGCCTCGAGGGCTTCTTCATGCTTGGTGGATGAGAAGGAGAGGAGAAGGAAGGGAGAGAGTTTATGGGAGAGAAGAAGTGGGGAAGAATGATGAATTTGGGGAGAATTTGGGGATCGGCTTCTCAACCATGGTTTCTATTCATCTTGACACCTGAGGCATACACTTCCCTCCACCTTTCACAATCAAGTCTACTTACCATCTACGAGTAACTACACCACAAGTACAGTACGACAAATATTTGGAATAATACCTACTTCACAATAGCTGATCATCAGAATGCACGAGAGTGAGGGTGGTACGGAGGACGCAGGTACCTCACAGGCGCATAAGTTACATCACATGCCCGAGCCAGGGGTCAGTCAGTCAGTCAGTCCGTCAGTCAGTCAATCAATCAATCAACTAATTAACAAACTACTCCGTACTGTACATACATACATACGGATGCTTTTCGATGGCATCGAGATCACCGCGTGTTCATCCGTCTGGGTTAGTGGCTGCAAATGATCCGCCCGAACAAGATGCATAGTTCGCCCCTGTGGCACTCGCAGGCCCTTGGATCAGAAGATCAGTGGGCTGACTGGGTCAAGGAGGGTCAATCCATAATGATAATCATAATAGTAACTTACCTTACGGAGCACTCCGTACACACATAGCTAACACATAGCTAATCACTCTATTCTTAGGTTGTGCAGATGAAGAATTGCTCATTCCTATCTCCGCAAAATACGTGTATTATTACCCATTCCTAATCTCTGATTGGTTCCGATGATCGTCAGAAATGAAATCTCGAAACAATAATGGACATTCATTGCACGGCATTCCTCCTGCCATTCCCGCCTGGAACCATAGAATTCCGAGTAACGGGGGTCATTGCTATGTTTGGATGCCCTCCCCTAAGTAAACAACAATGTGGTCGCCTGGTCTCGCTCCCATGCCTCTCATACCCAATCTCTATTCTACTCCTACATGACCCGTCTGTTTGTCCCTCATTGTAACTCCGAGCCCCAACTTGACCGACCAACGCCTCTCCTTTTCCTATCCTTAGATTCTTGCTTCTTTTCTGCCGTGTTTTCTTGCAGAGCTCGCGTAGACCAGCAGCTCGAAGCTCTTTCCAAGGGGCAGTGACCAGGTACGGTTTTTCCTTGTAGCTGCTGAAGCTCATACTGATTGTGCGCTACAGGTCGACCATCGGCCCCGTCCCCTCGTTCGTCATTTGACCTTGCTTGCCTTCCGACCGTTGACCTATTGAATATACCACGCTTCAAGCCCATGTCTGCCGATCAATAAACGAAAGATGGCTCAAAATCGGGACCCAGCGTTCTGGCGACGCTTTTCCCTGGCCATCCACCTGGACGAAGAATCCAAGGCTTCCACCCCGGAAAAGGAAGTCACTCTCTGGTCGTATGTTGTCTCACTGCTACCGATTCAAGCTCACGACGAGTCATGTTGCTGGTCTCGTATGCTGAATGTCCGGTTCTCACAGGGATAATTGGATCAAGGGCCAGGAGCGGAAACGCAAACGAACCATCCTCTGCGGCTTCCTGATATTCTTCCTCATTGCGCTGTTCGTGGTGGGCGTTATCGTGGTGGTCGTTTGGCTCAATGCTCATCACTGGCTACGGGACACGCCGAGATCAGCTTGATGTAGCGGCAGATAAGGGGCTGGGGTTAGGGATCTGGGTCGAGGGAGGAGGTGTCTTGTGGATATGTGTTTCTAGCTAGGCATGAATGAGCGGGCCTCATTTCGGCTATATTTTCATATTCGCTCGTTCTTTCGACGGCGGGCTGGGGCTGGTCTTGTTGCAATATCCCCAAATAGCTGACAACCGTCGTTCTGATAAGTACCAATCTGATAAATGTCGCATTCAGATGTCGTTGCTTTTGTTTTCAGTGTAATCCCCTGGTGGGTGATTCTTGAAGAAGGAAAATGCTCAGACTGTATAGCAGTGGAAAGTCCAGCCGCGTCTTTCTTCAAATCGAGTCCACGCATGGACTTTCCCAATCTGGCATTCCTGGCGCCGGCTGCCGGCATCTTATCGGTCATTTTCCACTACGTCGCTCGGGTGTGCCAGTTGTCCCTTCAGCAGCTCGTGATCTAAATTCTGCACACAGCAATATGTGCTTGTTAGCGATGTCGGTCAAGATTGAGCTCTCAATCGCGGTGCTCGCGTCATACATATGCATACAGCCCAAGATCAATATCAGGCCTGGGACTGGGATGGACAGGTCAACGGGGAGCCTGGAGCGCAAGCCGTATCCGAGCTTTGGGCGGTCCCCACGCTTATCAGCGGGACCCGCGCGCGGGCTTATCGCTACGATGTCTCCGCATCTCCTCCGTCCTTCCCCGCAATATTAAAAGGCCGCCCTTTCCATCCTCCTTGCTTTCACTCTTTGATTCTACCCTTCGTTTTCGTTCCTCTTCAAACTTGGAAGTACACTCTTCCTTTCTCGCGGACTCTGCGACGGAAAGAGTCTTCGTTTCATCATGCTTCCCCCATTCGATTACTTCACATACCGTCGTCTCCGGTAAGTCCGTCATGCCTCTTCAAGAGGTCATGAGTCCAGTACTCACTATGCACTACTTGCTGTGTGAATCACCGCGTATTGGCTTTGGTACTAATCGCATGGCAGGGATTTCAAGCGGAGGGAGCGAGCAGCAAGATTCGCATCACTGCCGGCAGAATATCACGCCCCTTTCACAGCGATTGATAGGGTTATCATCAACAAACCCATACAAGAGCTGGTGGATGAGGTGCACGCCGAATCCGTATCCCCCCTCGATGTTCTCCGCACCTACGGCAAAGTAGCCGTCAAAGCCCATGAGAAGACCAACTGCGTGACAGAACTCCTTCTGCCCGAAGCTGAATCATGGGTCCAGTCGGAAGTCAACCTCCAAGGACCATTGGCGGGGATTCCCGTCTCGCTGAAGGATTCGCTTCAGATTAAAGGGTTTGATACCACTCTGGGATACACCAAGTATGCGTGCAAGCCATACAAGGAAGATGGACCAATGACCAAGCTTTTAAAGGACGCTGGTATGGCCTTCCTCGACGGAACTGCTGCAGCACGCAATGGCTAACATCTCTAGGGGCTGTGCCTTACGCCAAGACCGCGTTGCCCGTGACCCTGTTGTCCTTTGAGTCAGCCAACGCTCTTTGGGGCCCGTGCCTCAACCCTCATGTTCCCGACTACTCTCCTGGCGGTTCCACTGGGGGTGAAGGTGCTTTGTTGGCGTTGGGCGGCCGCATTGGTATCGGATCTGATGTTGCCGGCTCCGTTCGAGTCCCAGCGGCCTGGAGCGGTATTTATTCCCTGCGCTGCAGTACTGGCCGGTGGCCAAAGGTTGGCGTTCACACCAGCATGGCCGGCCAAGAAGGCATTCCCAGTGTCTTCAGTCCCATGGCTCGGACCTTGAACGACCTGACTTACTTTACAAAAGCTATTGTGGGGATGGAGCCATGGAAGTATGATTACACGGTTCATCCCATTCATTGGCGGGAGAAGGAGGAAGAAGCAGCTCAGACTAGGAAGCTTCGGATCGGATTGATGACTAGCGATGGTGAGTGGATCGGCATGGCCACCCGAACTAACCAAGCTGACACTGGCTAACCACACATAGGCGTCATCCCCCCCACCCCGGCCATTGCGCGTGCCCTGTCGACGACAACCGCTGCTCTTGTTGCGGCCGGCCACACAGTTTCGGAGATTAAGCCACCAGTCACGGCAGACCCGTTCACAGGGCTTCACCTAGCTTCGCAGCTGCTGAACTCTGATGGTTGCGTCACCTTCAACTCGCATCTGCACAGTTTCGAACCCTCCGACCCGGGCGCAGATCAACTTACCCGGATTTCTAACTTGCCCCGTCCCCTGCGGTACCTTTACTACCTCTGGGTGCGCTACGTCCGCCGTGACGTCCAGTGGGCTAAATTGATCCGTACCTTTGGTCCCAAATCAGCAGCCGAGCTCTGGAAGCTCACCGCGCAACGCGAATCCTTCCGTGCCACCTGGCATGCCTGGTGGGATGGCGCGACACAGCAGTACGATTTCATCTTGTGCCCTGTAAATGCCACTCCGGCTCTACCACACAAAGCCATGCACGATGCGGTTTCATCTTGTGGATACACCTTCCTCTGGAACCTGCTGGACTACACGGCGGGTGTTATGCCTGTGTCGCACGTCGATGCGAAAAAGGATGCTCTACCGGGACCGTACAAGAAGGTTCTAAAGCAGCTGGGAGCTGACGGTGCACTCTCTCGCGGTGCTTGGAAGCACTACGATGCTACCAAGATGGCAGGATTGCCGACGGCGGTGCAGGTCGTCGGTCGTCGCTGGCAGGAGGAGAAGGTCCTTGGATATATGGCGGCGGTTGAGGCGGCGCTGGACCAGTACCAGGATCCATTGACCGGCGAAGGCGGACGATACCCCTTGATCGAGTTGGACTGAGTTTCTGGTGTTTGGTTTCATGCTTTAGAGAGACTATCCGTGAATGGGTGGATCTCATTCAAGCCCTCGTTGTACTTATTCCTGTTGTAGAGCGAACCATACGATGAACGATTTTTCTCTCTTAACGCACATACGACGACGAATCCTTGCATGCTCCTTGGCACGTACTGAAAACTGGCCGAGTAGATCTTGTGGCTTGTCGTACGCATGTGCATGTGAACATGGGTTCCTCGGATGGACCGCAATGTAGCTGCCTTGGTAACTTTGACATCTCGTTTCCCGACCATGGATCACTTGTCGGCTTGTCCTTTTGCCGCCCGTCATATTACTCTACATATTGGTTGATTGGAATGAAGTCAATCACTGGTCTGTGACAGTCCGAGTGACGACCAAATTGGCGCAGTAGCAAGCGTCAGTTGCTGTTACTAGTCGATGATTGTCAAGATTCCAATCTAACCCTAGACCCCTAGACCTCTAGGCCCCTAGACAACAGACCGAGGGTCGAGGAGAAGCGAACGGAGAGTAGCGAGCTGGTATCGGGAATGACACTGCTTTCTCTCTTGACCCCCGCATCAACCGGTGGCTCCGCGGAGTCCAGACCCTGGGATGAAGAAAAATGACCCGAACGATTTAGAAAACCAGGGAATGAATGCGAGAGACGGGTACAATTGATTCTTTGAAGTGGGAGGGGACTTTAAAAAGAAGATTTGAGGAGAAGAGTTTGAATGAAATGCGAGGATGTAACCATGAGAGATGTTTTGACTCATCCATCTTTTCTCTGCTCTCTGTCTCTGTCTCTTTCTTTTTCTCTAACTTTGATCTTGTCTTGATCTTGTTGTCATTCTAGTGTGTTGAACAGTGTGGTTTCCGCCGATAAGCCTATTCATTTGGGCCTTGAGTTTTGTGGCAGAGCTTGATTCTGGAAGGATCATTTGAGAAAGGCTGAAATTGTGGATGTGGACGTGAATGTGGTTGTGAATGTGGTCGTGAATGTGGTTGTGGTTGTGGTTGTTCTTAAACTAAGAAGAAGAAGAAGAAGAAGAAGAAGAAGATCGGGCGATCGTCACTGGAGATCCTGCCGCTTTCTGCTTGGCTGCTGCTGCTTCTTCGGCTTCTGTCTTGCTCTCCTTTACCCGTTTCACTCTCCCTTTCCCTCTCTCTCTCTCTCTCTCTCTCTCTCTCCCCCCCCTCTTCCTTCTTCCTTCTTCCCTCCCTCAGCTCAATTCCAACGCCCATTCCCTTTACCTCCTCTTCCTCTTCCTCTTCCTCTTCCTCTTCCCCTCCCCCTCCTCCTCCCTCCTCCCTCCTCCTTGAAATCTTTTGTTGTGAGATCCTCCTCTACATCCCAACACCGCCTGCAGAATTCGTTTTCCCGCTGCCGATCTAGACCCTCGCCAATCACCACAACAGTATTCGCCCCTCCCCTCCACCCTCCACACTTTTCCTTCCTGCTCTCCGGGTCTCCGTCTCGGTCATCGGTCTCGATCTCGATCCAACCTTCGTCCTAGTCTCGCCCTCCTACCACCTGTCTTGCAAAACTCTTGCCCTGTGGCGCTACTCTCAAAAGAATTAAAATTGCCGTCGATATCCGTGTACACTTACCTAGTTGGAGCTACAGGATGCTGTTCCTGGCTTCGGCTTTGAACTGCGGTCTCTGTCAATACCTCTCTTGACCTCGGAGAAATGACTTCCACCAAACGTGCCACCTCCGGACGCAAAAGGGACGCCATTCACTTCGTCAATGCGCGTCCAACTTCTGAAAATGAGCGCTTGAAGATTCAGCGCTTGGTCCGCGCCCATGTGGGCAAATGGATCTCGGACCAGACCAAGGATCGTTCGACCGTCCCTGACGGTCCAAATCCCAGCGCTGGTTGCAACCCCAACACCGGCGCCAACACCACCACCAGCACTCGCAGTGCTACTCGTCAGTCCACCTCCTCCAGCGAAGGGTCGGCGATATATTTCGATCACACCGGTTCGGAATCACAATATGCGACGCCTCCAGCCACTTCTCCGCTCTGCTCCTCCGCCTCATCCTCCCCGTCGCCCCCGCCTCATCTTCATGGCCACTTTGTGCACGATTCATCACCTGCAACCCAGTTTAAGGCCTCGAATCCCGTCAATCAACAACTCCTCCGATCATCGTCCCGGAGTCCGGTGGATTATATAATGAACGATGTCGAGCGACCCAATCCGGACAAATTCCCTTGGCCTTCTCCACAGGAGTCGCGATCCGGGTTGTCAGATACACGAAAAAGCTCTTCAGCGTCGGATGAGGTATCTCAAGCATTGACAATGACTTCGTCGTCTTCATGTCTCGCCCCGAGCTATGTCGATACCTTCGGCGCGGGTCGTTTCGACCCGTTCCAAACACATCCTATGAACCTGTTGAACATGGGGAAAAATGAAGTTGTCGCCTCTGAATATTATTGTTCGTGAGTCTTGCAGTACCTACACGTTCATCGAACTAACTTTTTCATTATAGGCCTTGAGGTCCTGTGGCCCGGCCTCACCCCCGTTTCACCCGGTATTGACGCGAGTCCGGCTAGCACCAATTGGTTTCCACTATCGTTATCCGATCCGACCTTGTTTACGGCGTTTGTCTTCGGTTCACTATCTCACAAAAGAGTCCAATGGCTGAAAGGCACGATTCCGCACCATGCTTTCCTACCCTCTGAGCAGCAAATGCTGCAGCTATGCGAGGCAGAAACTATCCGGAATGTGACGCGGGAGGTCAGCGATCCCACTCGGGCAATGTGCGATGCGGTTATTCTAAGTGTCATTTGCATGGCACACAACGTCGCCAACAACGAGCATATCAAGGGCCAGAAGCTGCCCTTTACCGCTCCGATGCAACGCTTGCAGTGGTTGGACATCTACAGCAGTCTTCCGCCTAACCTGGTGCATATCAAAGGTCTAATTCAGATGGTCCAGATGCGTGGAGGTCTTGAGAACCTGACTCTTCCTGGACTCGCACCTACTTTATGTTTCTCCGATCTCGTCACTTGCAGCACGTTCCTCTTGCCGCCTGTGTTCGATTTCATGCCCTTGCGCAGAGAGCGGATAGGTCTCACAATGCAAGATTTGCTGGGTTACAGCATGATCGATGTCGAGCGTCGGTTTGGTCCTCTGCGGGAGATTGGCTTCACATCGGACATGCTGGAGGTATTCTACGCCATGCAGGCTTATATCAAACTTGTTGAGACCCACGTTACAACGCAGCACCACAACCCCGACTATTCGCTGCTATCCGATCAACGAAATCGGGTGCATTACAACCTCCTTTCTCTCCCTGCAGTGAGCCGATTTGACAGGTTTGCGAATAGTTACCAACCCCATGAGGTCATGTATGAGATTTGCCGGCTGGCCGGTCTCATCTTCGGTGTCGGCGTGGTGCTACCGCTCCAAGCTCAGAGTGCACCGCTCTCTCAACTTGCCAAGCTCATCCAGGAAGCCTTGCACATCTCCAAAGCACCCTTCTCCTGGGACCATCCACAGGCTCGTATCGCTCTCTTCTGGGTGCTGATCCTCGGCGGTATCGCTGCGGAAGACCAGCCCGAACGCGCCTGGTATGTTGAGCTCATCAGTCAAGTGGCCGGAAGCCATGGCATCCACACCTGGGACGAAGCACGAAAGGTCCTACGGGTGATGCTCTGGTACGACCGGGCCTGTGAGCGCGGGGGTCGCAAACTGTGGCTTGAAGTGAAACAGTCCGGTCTTTCATCATCCTGAAAAACCGGACTCTTCCAAAGCATACACCTATCCCACGATCCTCTCCTCCCGGCTCCTACACTCCCACATCCATCAATATGTCCACAGTCCGCCTTATTGGCTCAACATGAACTCTGACCATGATCGCCGCTCTCCTCCCAACCCCAGATCGAACGCGGAGGAAGCCGGACCAACGGAATCTGTCCTCACTATTTCCCATCCTGAACTGTAGGTATATTATACGACTTTACGAAGGTTACGACGCAGCCAACGACCATGGCGAAAAGCATAAGCGCGCAAAAAGAGAGAACATCTCAGCGCAACATTGCTATCGACCTCTTATCCCTCCATTTCACATAACCACTACTTCTTTCAGCCGCCTTATTTTTATTTTCTTTCTCTTCCCCACTGTCTCTCCTGTCGCTGTGACAGAATCTCAATCTACTTTTTTTTATTTATTTCCCACGTGGAACTGTGATATGTGACATATAGATATATTCAATCGACCTAATTTGAAATCCCTCGGGAGTTCGATGACCGAGTGATTTTTAATAATGCTGCTGGTTGCATTCTTTATTTAATCATGTACAATGCAAAGCGATAAGAATCTGGACTAAAACTACATCTCTGGGAGAAGAACTAATGCTGCAGATGTACGCTGTGTGACCATGTACCGGGCCAAACTGAAGGGCGAAAAGCCAAAAATAGATGAAAAAGAGCCGTCCATGGTCCTTTTCTGAACTGTAGTAAGTGAAACATCATCATCAAGGTCGTCAGTTTTCAGGGTCTAGTGCCCCCGTAGGAAGCAGATGTATCATTGCCTTGTCGGAGCAGCGGTTCGCGTTCACCTTGCTGCTGCTGGTGGCGGCCCCAGTCCCTTGTGTCCACGCCGTCATGGATGCCGGGAACGCTGAGACCACTCTCGGCGACCTCCGTGGTGCCATTCGCGGCGGGAGCTCCGACCTTCCCGCGATTAGCGGCCATCCGGCGGGCTTGCCAGCTGACGAAGGTGACCAGGGCCACGCCGACCAGGAAGGTGGTGATGGTCAGCAGGGCGTTGACGGGGGTGGGGTCGCGGTCGAAGATGGTGAAGGTCAGGGCGTCGAGGCCGGCCTGCGCGAAGTTGCCTAAGCCGGCGAGGCAGATGATTAGGCCGTAGACCTTGCCGAAGGTCTGGAAGCCGAAGACCTTGGCAGCGTAGTCGGAGACGGCGGTGTAGTAGAAGGGGCGGTAGAGGACGAAGAGGGCGATGTTGCCGTAGCCCGCTGCCTCCGAGGGGATGCAGCCCAGGATGCCGATCAGGGTGGCGGTGGTGACGAGGGTGAGCAGCACCGAGGGGGTGCGGGCGGAGTCGAGGATGGTGCCGATGAAGGGGACGGAGACGAGGCCGCCCAGCGGGAGGAGGACGTCGAAGGTCGAGTTGAGGGTCGCGGCGAGATCTGGGGACTGGAGGAGGTAGGTGTACTGCTGGCGGATCGTGGCGACAAAATAGTTGATGCGGAGCATCTGCAGGATGGTGAAGAGGGTGATGAGGATGAACCAGGGGGTGCGGATCTGCGTGAGCGCCGAGGCGCCATGAAGGGCGCCCCAAACGCCGCCGGCGGTGTGGGGTTTGTCGGACTGGGGCGTGGTGGTTGGCTCTGTGGCGGTGGGGATGGGGATGGGTTCGGGGGAGAGCGGGCGTTCGAGCGGGGAGGCGTCGTCGTAGGATTGTGGTTGAAGGGTGGGGGAAGAGAGAAGGTCTTGGATTTGGCTGACAACGTTCTGACGGTGCATACGACGGTCGTTCCGTTGGCGCTCGCCTTCATTGCGGTCCTGAATGGCGTTGTCGACGTGGTCCGTGGCTTCGGCTGCGATGTGAGCATGCGCTTCTTGCACAAGTTCGCCGGCCGTCTTATAAGAGGTTGTGGGCATTATGGTGAGCTGGGCAGTGATGATAAAAATGGGGACAATGAGATAGATCAGGAAGAACCTGGTCGAGCTGAATGACCCGTTTGTGCTCTCGTTGAGAAGCCGAAATATAAGGAAGAGGGCGCTGGAGGCATCGAATGCACCTGTCAAAGTTGATAGGATAAGGCCCGAGCGGGTCGGGAAGGTGTTTGACAGGTGGAACGATGAGATGAAGACAAATGGTCCACCTAGAGACAGGAAGAGGTATCCGGGCATGTATCCGTCAAAGGGAAGCTGGTCGGAGAGTCCAAATAGTAGGGAGCCCAGTAAAAGAGAAATGCTGCCAATGATGCCGCAGACGCGCGGGCCGTATGTATCGAGAATTGTTCCTACTGGTAAAGCGAAGACGTTGGTTGCGACTGCAGCGATGGTGAACATCAAGTTCAATCTGCAGACAACGTTAGCTGGGTCTTCCAACAGGAATGCGTAGTCTGAGGCGCGTACCGAAGCTCTTGTCCGTAGCACACGTCGGAATTGTTATCAAGCTCTTCTTGCGAACACCGGTCCCGATAGACACCCTCCCTGATCAAGACCGGCTTGATGGCCGCAAACCCGAAGACTATCCCCGCCGCAAGTAGACAGTATACTACTGCTATGCAGACCTGCGCTGTGAGTGCATTAGTACTGCGCTGCATACGATGGTGGCTTCGAAGCTGTCTATGAAAGTCTAGCACTTACCAATGCGTTTGACATGGTTTACCTCAAACGCTCCCGTGGTCTCTCGGCCACCGGTCCACTCCTGCAACTTTGGCACAGATTGCTCGGGCGTTGCCCCCTCTCTGTCAACCTCATTGAGCGTACTGATCTTAGGTGAGGCGGCTTGGAGAGGTGGGTTCTGCTCACTGGTAGCCTCATCCACAGTGGCCTGTCCCCATGCTGGTCCCGCATACGGGTTGAAATTCAGTCGATGTCTATAAGAGTGGCGACTGATGTTGGATTGGAATGAAGATGATAGAGAAGGCTCCGGTAGATCATGGTAGCTTTCCTCGTCCTCAGAGTCATCTTGATAGGGCTGGCGACGGAATGCAGCTGGATTCTGTTCCCAGGACTCCAAGTAAGAGACGCGGTTGAGAGACATTCTAGCTGGTAGGTTGTCCTGTTAGTCAGTGCCATACCAGATGCGAAATGTCTAGTCTTTACCTGCGCAGATACCACCTCAGTACTTCCCGTGCTTGGGCACTTGGCACTTTCTGTATATCGATATATATATATTTAGATGTACCGTATACCTATATCCGAAGGACTGTCAAGCTGAGGTGCACGATCGCCAGAGACAGGTTGTGGAAATGATGGCTGGTTGACGGTGGAGTCGACCCGTTTTCGGCCCGTAGACCCAGCCAGCTATGAGGGGCGGAAATTGTGTTCTTACTCGAGGTGACGCCAAAACAATGGTGAATGGTGATGATGAGCGGAGGGGACTACTGGACAAGAGGCAGTGATTTTCAGGCCAGTTTGAAAGGTCAATGGCTGTTTTGCAAGGAGAATATCAGCAGGTCAAGGTGAAGTTGGCAAAGTTGCAGCAGCAGCTTTCAGCAATGAGGTAATGGCAAAAGCGGAGAAAAATAGTGGGAGAGGGAGAGAGAAATCACCTGACACCAACCACCATTACCACCACCACTGCTTGCCCCCGCATATCCCCAATAGGAAGCTAGTAGTACTTACTAGGTAAGTTACCTGCTACTGAGTTAGTCATCCTCATTGAAAGTAACTACAGTAGTTGCTTCATTCAAGTAGCTGTACGAAATCCACTCCATTCCATTCCACTTCACTCACGCCTTCTACTTCCTCTCCTTCTTCTCCTTCTCCTCCTCCTTCTGCCTCTTCATCATCATGGTTCATCTGCACCTATACTCGCATGGCCTTTCCTATCTGCAATGCAAGCCAGCCACAAATGCACACTTTCCTTGGATTGCCTTATGATCAAGCCTCTCCTCCTGGTCTAGCCCTTCCCTCAGTCCCTCTCGCTCGCAAAACTGAGTCGTGCTACTGCTACTACTCTGTACTGCCTGCTGCTACTTGGCCAGATTCGGTCACCCTCCGATGGGTCTAGAGCAAGATCCACCTGTCAATTGGCTCACGTAGCTTTCGGCTCCATTGTCGATTTACACCCCAAACCTAACTCGGATGGAAACTGGCCTAGGCCAAGCGGCATCAGGGTTTCTTCTGTCAGCATCTTGACCTCACCTACCTTTTGGCCCCCTTAGGCGTTATGCGGCCGACTGTTGCGCACGGCTGATATCTGAAGCTCACAAGCATCATAGCACTACCATTAAGGCCCCTGCACAAGGTCTACACTGTTCATCGCCGCCTCGCTCGAGACGGGTTCCTACTGCAGTGTGCTGCCAACCTTGATGTCACTTTGGCCCAGAGACCCAGTTACTCATTTCTTCTTTGGACGCAAGAACAATACCGTCTGTCATATTCTTCCTGCAGATAATTCGGCTAATAGATACATTCCGGATCGCCTGATTCGTCAAACACCGAGAGGCGCCACCGACGAAAACAAAAAAAGGTACTGTACTTCTGCGCGCGGCATTGAATTAGGTCCAGAGACAAACAATTATCCCGACATTTCTGAGACGGATGAACCATTCATTCAGGGGTGCTAGATGCATCATGCATCACAAAGCATACGCCACAGCCTTGTGTGAACAAGTGTTGCACCTTACAGGAATATGTCACCACTCACCACTCACATCACATGGCTAGTCACAGCTGGACCGTGACGGCTAGCTGGACGCCAGTGCAATGTCCAGTGAAGAGCCCATTAAATGAAAGACTGATGACTATTGTTCGGAGAAAAAAATGCAGATTTGACAATACTGGGGACTCGGTGCTGATAAGCGCCACCAAGACCTCCCGTGGCTTGCTGTCAGGTTGACCCCCCCTAGGGCGATAGCAGACCATACCTAATTCAGCGAGCAAACCCAGTTCCATCCCAAGGGCTGAAGGAAGAACGGGACTTCTGGACACGAAAAGTGCAGTCAAAAGTGCCGAAACGTTGCTCACTAGCTCGAACCGAAACGCTCCGGTGCGGGTGCCCTCCCAAGTTAGCTTGCGAGTATTTTCTGCTTCGGGCAACGATCAGACGCGGCTGTGCCAATCGCTCTGCGCTTGTCGGAGAACAGCAAGACTAAGGAATAGGCAACGGATGGCTTCATCCGCTGCAGCTCTGTCTTGTTCCATCCTAAACCCACCTAGGAAGCAAGATGGTAGAGCACGGTGGGCAGTCATCTCTCCTCTCTTTGTGAGGAGCGCGCATCGAGTAGTCTAGAGATGTGCCCCTGAACGAACCTCGGGAGCCGTATGATGCTGGGCTCCAGTGTTCACGCTAGAAGTGGGATCTGCTCTCTTAATCTTCATCTATATAGGGCTCTTTCTTTTACCCTCTTGCCTCTTTCCTCCACTTCTTAGCTTGCTTTTCCACTTTGCAGGCCATGGCGAGCTCCGCTCCGCACGAACCATTCTCTCTTGGGTAATTAACCGTTTGAACGTTATTCTGCCCATCATAATCATTGTCGCTTGGGCGGTCACCCTTCTAGCTGCATCTTAGTAGGCCTGGACTATTGCTGCTGCTGCTCGGCTCTTACTTTTTTAATACCTCATGCCAATGGCTTTGTGTGGCTGTTGATCTGGCTTGTTTTACAGGGCTATCGCGATTGTCAGCCCGAGCACTGAATCCGAGCACAACGTGATGAGGGGATGGTAAGTTGTATCTCGCTGTTCTTCGACGCTCTGATGCTGCGTTTATCGAATAGTCATTCTGACCCCGTTGCTCTCGATTTAGTCTGACCTGCCGTCAGCGCCATATCAAATGTAAGTCGCCCTCAAGCCCCTCTCGACAGATCTCTGTCAGTCGAGGGAAATCCCCAGCTCAACGTCCCCTAATGTTGATACCAGGTGACAAGACCGAAGACCAGTGCCTTCGCTGTCGACGATCGGGACGAGAATGCATACCCGCGCCTACAAGACAAGAAGAAGTCACTTTTCGCCATGGTCAGAACCCTTCGCTGCGACCTAGCGGTCCCCCGCGATACGGAGAAAGCGACCTCGTGTTTCCAACCGATCAAGTGTGGGTTCCGTTTCCAACTCAAGGTTTGTTCCTACTGGGGATGAAGAAGACCGTTTCCACTGATGAATGGCAAATGAAGTTTCTTTCGAAGATGAGACGGATCGGACAGCGGCGGATTATCGCGTGGTGCCCCTCGATGGTTCGCCCTTCGATCTGAAACATGCGCCCGAAAACTCTCCTCCATCGCCCAACGGGGCACAACATTTATCATCAGCCTCGCATCCGCCTCGTTCATTGCGAGTCGCAGACTCGTCTCGAGTCCGTTCAGCTCAGCGCCTGGTTTTCCCGTTCACAGCTTTCCCGTCCCCCGATTTCGCCAGCACGCAGAAGCTGCCAAGTTTCAATGAAGCTTTCCTCCTCCGATATTTCCGGAAGACACTCGGCCCCTGGGTGCTGTACCTCGTCTCACTTGTACTACGCTGGAGCTTCAGCTAATCAGCAGTTTTAGCTAGACGTTTGCGATGACCAAAGTCACTTTTCCGTGGATGTGGCCGAACGAGCACCCTCACACCCTCTCCTATTGTACGCGTGTCTTGCCATCTCAGCGCGTCACCTCTCCTACACGAATCATACAGTACCTCCGGAGACTGCCGATGAATACCATGAACGTTGCATCCGAATTCTCAAGTCGGTCCTGGAGAACACAGACTTTGGCACCAGCATCGAGACACTCCTTACTTCCACCGTAATTTTGCGGTTCTTCGAACAAATATCCTGTAAGCCGGGCTGGTCGCGCTTCATTTACGGCATGCTCACATAACATGTACAGCACACAGCCCTTCAAACGATCTCCAGAGTCACCTTCTCGCCGGATCCGTATATATCAGCTCTCAACTGGACTGCGCCGTATCTGGAGGACTTGCAGAAGCCTCTTTCTGGGTGTTCGTGATGCAGGATATACAATTCGCTCTAATGTATCAGAGACCTTTGCGTTTGACTCTGAGTCCATTTGCAGAGAAGCTATACCATGCATGGCAGCACAGGACAACTCAGGATGACCGAGACTGGACGCACAGGGCCATCTGGCTCCTCGCTGAGACGATCAACTACTGCTACGGGGCGAACAACTCAATGCACATAGAAGCGATTGATGGGAGTGCCTTGAGGCAGCGAGTTGGCGCTTGGGAAACAATGAGACCAGACACATTCAAGCCTTTACACTATTCGGGGCCAGATCCCGGACGTGGAAGACCTTTTCCGTTCATTTGGTTCACCAATTCACTGCACGGTATGACTCGAGGCTTTCCAGGCTTATGCTCTAGGGCTGACATACTAAGTCTAGCTGCTGCGATACAACACATCTCCATGGCAAAGGCCTTGTTCCAGCAGCATGAGCTTCAGGCCCTGCATTCGTCTCCGCAATTCCGAGAGGGCATCCAGATGATCGAGGTTTGTTTTGGAAGCCTACTAGAGCACCACCATGGAACCTTGACTCATAATTCTCTAGGACGAGATTATCCTCAATCTTGGAGTCATATTTGGCATAGCTCTGTCGGCAGATAACGATCCAGCGTTACGGATTATGGCAGGGCATACACTTTGCGCTTGTAAGTCATGCATATCCCTGACAATGCTGTCGTTGTTATCTGGGAATTTCCTTGTTCGGAGGCAGTGATTAACAGCACAACTTGCAGGCGGTATTTGGATTCGTGACCCGCTGGCTCAGACATGCCTACTAGATCTCCTTCGCAGGACGGAGGCTGAGAATGGGTGGCCTTGGGCATTTGTTATGCAAAAGCTCAGCCAGGATTGGCAGCAGACTGCGAGATGAGGCCAAGGTATCAAAATCTTCAATAGAAGTGCTTTCGCTGCGTTCGAAGCCCTCCCGTTGCGTGAATTTCGTAACCCCAACTGATAACAGACTGTTGACTTGTAGCAGAGGATTGCCGGTTCTTATGCTACAGAAAGTCAATCCTGTTACATTGATACCTGTGCAATCATCCTCGGCATCACATGGCGGCCACCAATACGCCGGCCGGCCTGACATGCCTTTGCCACCTGAGCAAGGATCCTTTGTCCAAGGATTGGTTCTCTTGCTGGCTGCATGTGGAATACCACAGAATACCCAGTCCAGGTCATTCAAGGCACATGCACAGCCGCTTTCAGCAGAACGAGCAAAGCATATCAAGATTAGACAATGCATAATGCGTCTGTCTCTAATTTCCAGTGACCGCAGAAAGATGCAACGCTCACCTGAAAGTTCATTTCCTTGTTACAAAATACAAGCTGTAGGACCCGAAGTACACGCGAGCGGTCCTGGGAAAGTGTCAGTATATACACGTATGGCTTCCTGCACTAATGTCTAACTAGCGATTGCAAAATGCAAAAGAACTAGAGAACTCAGCACAGGCAAACCTTCACCATGAGGTCAACTCCATTCCGACCATTACTATTCCAAGCAATTCACCAAATTTTCTATCCCTGGGCACCATGAACGTAGACAGTGAGATCACCCTGGTCCCTGGTCATAGGATAAATGGCGGCCTTTACCCACGGCAATTAGCCTGGCACATTCTTCAGAGAAGCGCTCAAAGGCTTTCATCAAGCCCAGCTCGACCGGATTTATCCAGCCTGTTCTCGAACACTCTGCGTGATAACATAATGTCTTGTAAGGGTTCCCTCTGTTGCGACCACCGTCCCAAAATCCCTCCAGACCCAGGCCCGAGACCCCGGATTCCCTCCCACCCCAAACCGCAGCTCGCGCAAACAAATTTGAACCGTGCCCTCTCGAAGCCCCTCCTCTCGAACGAAACAAAACCATCAAGCATGTGATCCCGAGGCTCGTGGCAAAACGATGTATAGTATAGTAAACTGCAGCAGCGATCAGGGTTGTGCCACGCACGTGATGTTTGTTTTTGCTTGAACACCCCAAAATCAAGAATTGGTTGTTGGTTTTGGGAACAGGGATGATCCTAGATGGTTGAGAGGGTGTGCCACGGGCTGGTGGTAGATTTGGCCGGTTGGGAAATGGTAGGGTTGGCTGGCGGCCGTGGACCAGGATGCCACCAATATTTTTTCCGGTGGGAGGAGCTTACTTACCGGCTACTGTTAGCATGTATATCACAGGTTGAAGCGGAATCAGTGGGCTGAGTATACTAGTAGATAGATAGATAGATAGATGGTCTTTGGTATGCCTTGGTATGCTTTGGTTTACGCTTGCTCACGCCTTCGTTCTCTCGCTCGTTTGTTCGTTTGTTTGTTCGTTGGTTGGTTGGTTGGTTGGTTGGTTGGTTCGCTGGCTCGTTCGCTCGCTCTGTACAGAGAATAGGACACCGTACTTCTACAACCATTTTTCAACCTGTAACTAGTAGATACTAGACACATAGATGCAATCCCCGAACAGGGATCTACTCTCTTCCAGAAATGACCGGTATATACCTCCCTTCTTTTCTTTTGTGAAGAGCCCAACCGTATCAAACTGCAAACCTACTCACATCACCACACCGAAACAACCCCCCCCCCCCCCCCAAAAATGAAATACAAATTACAGAGCAGGGATATCATGATACATTTCTATGCAGGGGGAAACTCATTCCCCTGAGCAAAAACAGCGAACGGTATATGGTATATAGGATGTAGTATGTAGTATAGTATATACTTCACCCCCCCTTAATAAAAGCCCATCCCGTCGTCAGCCGGCAACGGAAGATTCAAGAACCCGTCGCCGATCATACTGTGCAGCGTCAGCAGGTTCTCTGGGTCGAACCCCATCTGCACGCCCAGCTCGGGCACGAAGAAGCCCTGCGGCGAGAACATCATCCCGCCGCCGCCGCCGCCGTTGGCACTGGCACTGGCACTGGCACTGGCGGGGTCGGAGTAGCCGGGGGGCAGGTCGGACATGCCGGAGCTGAAGATGGGGTAGTAATCCCGGGCGGGAGCGGCGGGAGCGGGAGCGGGAGCGGCGTAAGGGGTCCAGGGTTCGGTGGTTGAGTCGGTTGCGCTGGTTGGGGCGCCTAGGCTGCCTGGGTTGGAGCCGAGGGAGTGGGAGTGGGAGGTGAGGTCGGTGGAGGATACGGAGGGGTGGTTCGTGGCGGGGGGATGATTGCTGCTGGTGCTGGTGCTGGTGCTGTTGCTGTTGTTGAACCCGGGAGCCGTCGGGTAGGGGATGGGTCGTTGCTCCCCTGCCGTTGACGGATTTCCGGGCGAGGAGTGGCTTCGTGAGCTACTGCCCATGGCGACTTCGCTTAGGAGGTGCAAGGGCGTCTGGCTGGAGCCGTTGTTGTTCTTCTGTGGGGTGTTAGCAGTGGTGTCCATTGTGTGATTGAGAGCAGCGGGAACTGATTTTAGTTCCAGGAATGAATGCCCTGGTGCTACTTACTTGACCTTTGTCGTCGGGGTGGCTCTGACAATCCGACGAGGCGCGGCAGACCGAGAGAGCTTCCTTCAACACCGGGCCCTGGTCTTTGCGCTTCATGAACCAGTTGCGTAGCATGGAGAGCACCACCCCGAACTTGGCAGGGGTCCGTCCGCCGGGGAGCTCGCCGGCGACCGCGTAATGGCGAATGACTTTGTCGAGGTAGTATTCCATCTTAAGGCTGCCCGCATCCATCACTTGATCCAGGTGAGTCTCCGGCGTGAAGACCATGGCGTAGAGTTTGATTAGCGCGACGACGGCAAAAGACGTGCGCGCAAGAGTAACCGTCGGTGCGGACACTAGCTTCTTGGTGTCTATCGCACAGATTGTATCGAGGGCTTCGTGGATGGCAGTGAGGCAGGAGCTGAGGGCACTGATGTGTGTTGCGCTGTTAGGACCAGCAACATCATCCCCGGTGGTCCGCGCCTCGTCCTTGCCATAATCAACATGCATGGCGTTTTCGTGCAGGTAGAGGTTGACAATACAGTATGCTTGCTGAATGATAGCTAGAACCCCATGTGAGCACAAGAATACGGACCAGGTGTGGGTGACTGCTTACGAGAAGAATGTTCCGGTAATGTTTCCCTCTTCCACTGCTCCAACTGTTTCTCGAGTGCCTTGAGAGTGTAGATGGACTTCGGGTCCGAAAAGGACACAACCGAGGGAATGTCATCGCTCGCGAATTGAACATATATCTCCTCGATGATTTGCGCTAGCTTGGCCCACCGAACCATCGTTTTATCGGATGGCAATGCAGCCGGGGACTTCTCCAGGATCTCAACGCATTCATCCATGTATGGAAGCCATCGCACAAGATTGACTCGTCGAAGAGACACGGCAACCCTAGAACATAGGTTAGCTAGTTACCTCCGGAAAGACCGAGAAGTAGACGTTGAGTACATACTGAACCGCAACGAAATAGCATGCCAACCAGGTTCGCCTCGTCTCCGGAGAGTCCGGATCCAGGACCTCAGATGACTTCTTCGCTATAATGTCCTTGAGCAGATTCATCTGCTTTCCTCTCGGCATTGATTTCCGATACAGACCCACATCCATAGCCAAGGTGACGGCCATATGCGTTAGCTGATAGAACTTCAGTTCTTCGAAGTTGTCCGGAGGCGTGTACCAGTTACAGCAGACCAATAGCGCCTGAACTAGCTCAAGGGATTTCTCCCCTTTGACGACAACTCGTTCTGCGATGACTTTATAAAAATCATTGACGAGTGGAATCTGAGCCTGGGGCTGAATAGTCCCTACTGCAACAGCGATAATCGCATGGAAGAGCACTGGCTTCTTCTGCCGGACGTCCTCCATCTTGGTCCCGTGAGGGAAGACCACCATCGGAATTAGGAGCGCCATCTCCTCGTTGAATCGCGCGAATGCTTCCGCCGCTATATCGGCACTCACAAGGCCCCGGTCAATTATATCGGCCACTTCGTTGGCCCCCTCTTTAGCGGTTGAGTCCGACGGGTATCCCAGAGCACGCCATTGTCGTATCGCCTTGTTATAGATGGATTGCTCTTCGCTCGGACTCGACACCCGAGAGGTTGCGGGTGTGGTTTCTTTGTCCTCCCCACTATGACCCCGTTTTCTCCCCGCCATACTCCGCGGCGATCCCACAGGCAAAGGCGACGGCTCATGCGATGCGGCATGAGTCGGGGCCAGCCAATGCCTCGCCGCCGGCTCCTCGCGCGGTGGGGGCAATTGCACCGGCTGCAGCACGGGATCACGATCGTGAGACGCCTGAAGGCTCGCGGTGAGCGCATCGATCTTCCTCTCGAGCTCCGCGACGCGGTTATCCGTCTTCTTCTGTCGTTTGCGAGAGGGCACCGTCACGATACAGGTCCGCCCGGCTTTCGCGCATCGTTTGCAGGCGCCGTTGGCATGGCTGATGTCCGGTTCGCATCGCACCTTCAACTGCCGGCACGCTTCGCAAGCGCGGGGCCGTTTCAGCTCCGCGTAAGGGTCGCTGGGGTCGACGGAGGGGCCGGAAAAGGCGTCGATGCCCGATGTCGAATCCGACCGGTGTTGGTGACCCGGTTGGGTCACCTGGGGGCTCGCAAGAGGTCCCGGGACTCGAGGTGCTGCCAGCACGGAATGCAGCCGATCGGTCGGTGACAGATGTGGAGTCGCATCGGGATAATCTCTGGAAGCGACAAGCGGGTGGCCATGTCTGGACGAAGGGGGTGGTAGACAGGGCGGGCGGGTTTCGGCGCGCTCGGTCGGACGTCCGCCGTCTCTGCTGTCTGCATGCAGGCGTGGATCGATCTCCATCGGGGAGCGCGGAGACTGCGGAGTGGGTAGCACATTCATGGTCAGCCAGGCTCTATTCGCCGCGGGAGTCAGTCATCGCCCGCCATGGGCCCAGGGCGGATGGCCAGTTGAGGTCATCTCGGTCGCGTTTCTCTCGGAATCAACGGGGGAATCTGGGCTGTTCGCCACGATTGCATCTTGATTTTTGAGGCTTACCCGAGCAACAGTCTGGGGCCGCAGGAGAGAAAAGAAGAAAGAAAGAACGAATGTAAGGAGTGAGGCAAGGCAGCGCGGAGTTGGAGTCGCGCAAGTCGGAGAATCGGACGGTCGGGAGCCGATGACCGATGGTGACTTGAGGAATGCGCTGGTGGTGTCGGTGGTGTCGGTGGTGTCGGTGGCTTGGCCCGGACTCAAAGTGAATTATAAACTGGTTAATTCTGGCTCGCAGAAAAGTGGTTCGGGAAACAGAAAAGAAGCAAGAGAAGGCAAAAGAGTGGGAGTTGTAAGAACAAGGAGGATGACCCAAGAGAGAATGAAGGAAGCGAAAGAGGAGCTGAGGGGAAGCCAGTCAGTCACTTACGGCGTACTCACCAAATCCACATAGCCTCCAACACTTTCTCCCCAGAGGATGATTTATGGTCCACAACCAAGTTGATCGCTGCAATTATCTCTTTTCTCCATTTTTTCAATGATATCTATGATAGTCTTCAACTACACAAGAAATGATTGTATTCCGATCTAGGTTGCAAGATGGCAACAAATCCAATCCTGCCAGCTCGTCGAAGACCAACAGAGACAGCAGCAGATGAACCACAATGAAAAGGATGAAGATTGCAACAGTACGGCAAAGAACACCGGCTCAAACGACACAGAAGCAGTTGATCCACCCCCATATAAAGAGCAGAGAGTAAGACATGATCCGATATATAAGATGCGGAAGACCAGCCGCGATAAACTTCGCTCCACACAAAAGCGAGAGTGGGCTCCAGAAGCAAATCCGACACTCAGGAGATTTTATGCACTGGGCACTCCTTCTTACGCTCAAACCACTCGACTATACATCGTTTATGGAACTTGCACAGACACTCCAGCCGCACGAGCGGCTGACCCACTTCGTACTCTTCCATGCAAATCGTGCACTCCTGCAGCCCACCATCGTGTCCAATGCAGTCCTTCTCCGTGGCTTTGAAGGTGACTAGCCGAACTGCAGGATGAGGCTGGACGGGGCTGCCGCTCTGGGGACTGGAGCGCCCGGGCCGACCATGACTTTCAATACATGTCCGAATGTGTGCTTCCCGGGCATCCTCGCCCCCACTTGATCCCAGAAGCGGAAGCTCACAGTCACAGATCGGACAGAGGTCCTGCTCGCGGACATGCGGCGGGCGTGTATGCGACGGCGGATGAGTGTGAGGAATCGCGGGCAACGAGCTGGCGTTGCCAGCGGTCGGATAAGGGAGAGGGCGTGTGGGTGAGCTCACCGACCCAGATGAAAAGCGAGGGCTTGCCAATGCAGCGTAGTTCATTCCGGGGACTCGCGGGGCAAATGGACCTCCGAATCCACCCAAACTTGAATAATCGCTGACGCCAACAGTCTGCCGGCTTGTCCGAGACCCGAGAGGTTCAGTTTGGAGCTGCACATGACTGTGTTAGCCACGAATGATCTTCTCGCCGTCCGGTGCTTGACTGTAACTCACTGGTAAACTATTGTATAGACTCGGTCGAGTCGGAGAGGACAGCGAATGGTAAGAACGATGCCGAGAACTGGGTGGAGGAAAGTACGAAGGCCCTTCTCCCCAGCCAGTCGCAGCGACGGTGCCTGATCTTCCTGGAGTTTGGACCGTTGTGAACCCACGAGGCGGTTCTGGATTTGGGTCCGGCACACAGGGGTTGCAGAGTCTCACTTCCTCCCCCCCGCCGAGGGCTGGATTTAATGTTGTTGGCGAGTGCACCGCATCGTCCCCTCCGGAATGGAAGGCCGAAGCAGCACGGGGAGGAACCAATGCGGCTGCGGGGGAGCGGGTGGGATCGCGCACAATGAACTGTCGTGGAATAGTGATCCGATGGGGTGAGCATGACGCGCAGACAACCCGGCCACATTTCCGGCAGTGATGCTTCCTGTACCAAAAGCTGAACGCGGTCCCACAGATCGGACAGTTGGTGACCTCAGTATCAGGCTGCCACCGCGGTCGAACATATTCCACGTAGTTATCCTGGGTTCGGGACCATGAACTTCGACGAGGATCGTTTGGGCGTGCACCCGGCGGTGAGGAGGACAGGTCAATCGGAGTAGCAAAGGAAGCGCCAGGCATCATCATGGCAGGATGTTGTGACTGAGACGATCGTTGAGGCAACGACCTGCTATCCATTGTTCCTGCTTGGCGACTTGGACCAGCTTCTGTTGTCCACGACTGGGATCCGGGGCCACGGGGCCACAGGTCCCCCTCCAGACTGACTATCCTTCTCTTCCGATCTGACCCTGTGACGGTGGACCGTCTTCGCTCGGAGCGTTGATCGCGTGCAGCCTCAGTGGCCTGTAAATTTTCCGAACTCGCATGAGGCCTGAGAGCAGTGGCGGGCCGAGTGGCGGGGAAGGCGGCGGTGGAGGAAGCGGAGGATGAAGGACTGGCCGAATTCGACAGCGACGACATGAACCTGAGGTACGAGGCAGAGGTCGACGATGGTAAAGTCTTTGGTATCTGAGTCCCTGAGACCGAAGAGGAGACTAGTCTCCGCCGTTTGGAGGACGGGCCGTCATTGACTGGGTGGCGCGGTGATGCCAGGATGGGGAGGGCAGCCGGACGGGGAGATGATCAACAGCGGTAGACAACCGTGGATATGCTTGTGTGCCAGAATGTAAATGGAGAACCTTAAAAGGAGGATTATTGCGCAAGGAGACGAATTGATACAAGTCACACAGAGCCAAGGGCCTTTGACTTTGTGCGAAACGACACAAGGCAACTCGGGTTCGGACTTCGGGCGTCAAGGATTAACTTAACGATAAGAGCGCATGCAGGAAGGTCTCGTGACAGACAGTCTGTTCGGAACGAACAGGAATCCGAGAGAAGAAGAGGGAGAAGAAGAAGAAGAAGAAGCCTGAGCCAGAGAAAGTGCGCAGCCGATCCACAGCCACACACAGAGCAAGTGATTAGTAGTCTGGGATAGGAGGGGAGTGAATAATAGCCTACTAGGTAGGAGGAGTTTAAGCCACAGGCTGGAGGGAGAGGGAGGGAGAGATAAATCATAAGGTGGAGATGCCTTACAGTAACTTCTAAGGTTTGGTTTGGTTTGGTTCGGGTCCCACCCGATGTTTCGCCGCGGGGCAATCAAAGGCGGTCACAACACTGTTTACTTTGCTGTTGCCCTTTTCTTTTCTTTTCTTTTCTTCTACACTGGTACAGTACATGTACAGTCCTCAAACTGCTTTTCTTTCCACAGCCATCGTGATCATATCGGGATCATATCGTGACCAGACGACATCAGGTGGCGGTGGGTACGCTCGTGTTGGATGTAAGAAGGTCATCGAAACAAAACAACATGCACATGGCCTGATTCTGCCAAGGAACTCTCCCTTATCGCGTAGTCTGGCAGATCTGCGTCTAACCCAATTATGACTGGACTGGACCACAGTCATGGTGTAGTAGTAGACTATATGTTCAAGTATACTCAATACAATATTATCACACAAACCAATCCTCCAGATCTCGCTCACTATAGTTAAACTCAGCTATTACCGAAGATTCCGTACATGAAAGGAAAATGAGGACTCCAAGATATACAAGATGCGATCCACACGCTTGCAAGGAACAGATCATGACCTAAAACAGGGCCGTCGGCTAGCACAATTTCACCAACACTGCTCGCAATGTAAGCTCGCGACTGGATGGAAGGGCAAAAATCCGGGACGCATGTAGAAAAAGAGGTGGCGAGGAAAGCAGAAAGACGCTAACCAGCAATTTTGCAGTAAGATACTGATGCATATGTGAGGAGACCCAAGCGTATATCACAAACTCCGACGCATGATGATTTTGGAAGGCAACAGAGAATAAGAAAGAGATTCGTGAAAGGGGAGGAGGTGGTGGAGAGGATAGGGTAAACAGACTACTCCCAATTGTCACTTCAGTGGTCTCCCTCGTGGTGATGTGCTTCAGTCACCAGTTCCGCAGCACTGCCTGCAAATGATGGCTCATCCGGACTGGCTTCATGTATGTTATCCTGCGTACGAAACTGGGCAACATAACCCATACTGGATGGGCGCTCGATGCGTAGGTTCTCCGAGTTCCCATGCCGACGGCTAGACGTAGTTGAAGCGGTCGTTGAGGCAATAGAGAGGTTACGGTCTCGTGAGGGAGAACTAGCTGCACTAAACGGCAACCGGCCAGTCACAGAAGCCGAAGGGTGAAGGTGGTTGCGAGACTGAGCAGGATTATTCTCTTCAGGTTGATTGGAAGTGGCCGTTTCTTCCGGAGCGACCACAGGAAGAAGTTCACCCGACAATGGTGCCTCTTCCGGTGAGGGGCCGGTAGCGCCTTCTTGCTGAATAATCTGTCGCTCAGTCGATGGTGGTTGAGAGCTAGAGTGAGAGCCTACACGACTAGGGAGCTCGATAGCGCCCCCTGTATCAACGTTCGGTAGGGTAATTGCGATCTCTGGAGTCCGTTCTTGAGTCCGTTCTGGGGCCTCGCCTTCGGAATCATCGTAGTCACGATCACTATCCGAATCTTGACGGGCAGGGTCTGCGGCCTCCGGTTCCTCGGGTTCGTCTGTATAGGGTTCATGGAAATCCTCGCCCTCGGGAAATAGACCCGGCGGTGGTGCCCTAGCACTCCGGACGACTTCGAAGCCTTTTCCTTTCTCTTTGGTCTTTCCTCTGAACAGATTTCGGAAGAAGCCAGTGGCGGATGAGACAGGCCCCGTAGGGTCAGCCGGGCCTGTCTTCAGTTTGCGCGTGCCCGACTGCGATAGCGGAGGGCCTCTCACACGGTAATAGAAATCAACCTCCCGTACTGCGTAGTCTGTTCTAGACTGACGAGGATCCTCCAAGTCGAGATCGTCCTTGGGTGCTGGAAGGTACGCAGGAACAGGCGTATTCCTCCCAGAGATAGACGGGCCTTCCATAATATCGTCACCCACATCTCCATAGCTCGCCGCTCGTTTTCTTGCGCGAGACTTCTCCCTCGATACACCTATCTCAATGATCTTCTTGCGAGGCCTGGGTGGTCGGTAGTAGGGGTCATGGGGATGCACAGCGAAGACAGGCCCGCTCTTGGGCGAATTGCTGCCCGTCGTCTGATAGCCTGGTCCAGCGAATCCACCGGGGGTTGATGGCGTGAAGAAACCGCTGCTATTGGCTCGACTGTGATTTCCACCATGTGCGCTCCCTGATTCGAAGAAGGCACTCGCGCGACCTTCACTCGCACCCGCCCGATGCAGAAGCATTGCAGAACTTCCGGAAAGACTTCGAGGTCTGGATCCATCGAATTGGGAAGAGAGGCGGTCATCGGTATGTGCCAACATCGCAGCCTCGGAGCCCATGCTCTGGCGTGTACCAACACTTTGTCGGGGAACACGACGAGACAGCTGTCGCATACCAAATACCTTGACCAGACCACCTCGGGTCACCCCACCTTCATTGCCTCCCGCTCCAGCAAGTCGTGCGATAACCTCGATCAAGGTCTGGAGAGCATTGAGGAAGAAACCGAACACAAGTACTAGGGCGTGCAGAAAAAGGATAATGTATCCGATCCAGCCCCGTGCAGCCTGCGAAACACCTAGTGAGGGGACGAAAACAATGCTGAGTAAGATTGTGAGGAAGCGGATGATGGAGAAACAGGCATGATAGAGGTTCATGGAAGTGGGTGATGCAAATGGTCGGAACGCCACCAAGGTCAGAAGTGAGACCACCTCGCAAATGGCGAGAAGCACAATTTGAGCGATTCCTGACGGCTGCAGTGCTCCAATAGCGATACCGCGGGCGAACGAAAGGAAGATTGGAACCAGAGCGAAGGCGGCCGCATCGTCGCAGAAAGTGTTGTAGAGCGGGCCATACAGCAGGACCGTCGAGAGGTCATCAAACAGGTACGATTTCGGGCGCGTGGTCGCGATCAAGCGAGTGGTCCAAATGGAGAAGGATGCCAGGATCAAGATCACAACCACCGCTAACGCAACACAGTAGGCCGGAGACTGGCCGGCAATCACGAGCTGGAAGAACGAGAAAGACATGAGCGGCAGCAGCAGATAGTTGAACACGATCCGGATGACGTTTCCTATGGTGAAGGGCATGTTCTTGGACCGAAGGTCTTCTTCCGGCACATGGGCAATCGTGCGATAAAGCGTGCGAAGCCCGAAGGCTACTTGGATAAGAACTGTGAGTGAGACGACAATCACGAGCATCCAGACCATCATTCCAGGCCAGATGTCGCGTGATGTTGGCAATCCCACATATTGATTCATCCTGTCCAAGCCGTAGGTAGCATTGACAGTATAGACGCCATCAACTACTGGATTCCACTCATTGCCGGGGTCCAAGAGGCTTTGATTGAACATAAGGGCCGACCAGGCGACTTGACTAACCACAGGTTGATAGTATCCAGGGTAGTCCAATGACAAGGCTCCAGTAAGCACAGCGAACTGTATGTAATTCAGACAATCCCCGAAGCCCGGGGTCACTAGACGAAGGACATCCTCGTCGCGTCCATAGTTGCTGGTCCAGTGAAAAGGGTCGGTGGTTCCCCACGGGCTGTAGATCGCTGCAGTGATAGTAGCAATCCCGACCAGCAAGAGAATGACCAACGGGATATATGTGATTGTATTTCGAAGCGATGTTCCAAGGTCAGGGGTGATATCCACACTGATACAACCAATCCGTGTGGCAGCAGCATCGGCGGACTTGATTGTCAGACGTGCTGACAAGGTCGAGAAATGGTACGCGGATTGCATGTCATGTTGGACCGAGAAAGCTCGCAGGGCCGAAAGATCGCTCCTAGTCCAGTCAAAGGTGATTAGTTTTGGTCAAGAGATTGACGGTAGAGAACTCACGCATTGGTGTAGAAGACGGGGCCCAACGGACAGTCCCCCTGAGTGACCGAGTCACAGAATTTTGATGCATGATTATATGGATTCCAACTGAGCACATTGATCTCCGACAGAAGAGTACTCAGTTTGTTGCTTGCAGCATCGTAATCCACGATCTTCCCCACCGTATCATTCGGATTGGACCAGTCGGGACTATCCGGGCTTGGATATGTTTCCCCATTGGCTGTACCGGAGACGTTCCCATAGACCGTGATATTGAGGGGGTTGAGAGAGTCATGCAAGTCGAAAGCGACCGACACGTCAAACGGGACGAACTGGAGTTGTTTCGGGTTGGACTGGATGACAGCAGCGTTTAGGCAATTGTCGAAATTCAACAAGGCGGCGAAAGTCGGCGATATACACGACATCAACAACACCAGTACTATCCAGCTCACTCCGGCCAACAGGGACCGATTGTTGCGCCATCGCGGTCGCAGTCGGCCAAGGCGCTGCGATCTTCGGGTTTGTAAGCCAGATTCTTTGATTTCAGGGACCTCAACTCCATCTTGGCGTGGAACCACCATGGTAAAGGGAATATTGAACCGTCTTGCGCCGCGTCCTGGACTCATTTCGGCCACTCTGTGTAACTGGGATGACCTCCTCGGGGAGGTCAGCCCCCTCGTAGACGGTTCGATCCACGTTGTCCTAGCAGCGTCTTTGCCTTGTCGATAAAACCACAAGATTTACCCAGTAAGACTGGTAACCGCGCGAACCTTTCCGAGCTCTCGGAAACAACTCAACGATGAATGGGAAGGGACCAGGTGATGTCGAAACCCTGAGTGCGAATAAGTAGATGAAGTGGGCGCAAGGGAAGCAGATGAGACAGAAGTCGAAAAGTCGAAAAGGAGAAGTTGATTACTCCTCTATCTCCCCCGAAATGGCGATGTAGGGGATGCGCACCATAACTTCGGGGGTTCGGGGGTGGGAAGGATGTGGATGGCGGGGAAGGGGAATGGATTATCGCAAGGTCGGGAGAGCTTAAGCTGTCAACACGAGGAGGAGGAGGAGGAGTCGGTCGCAATGATGACAGTTAATGAGAAAAGGGGCGGGGAAGATAGGTCTGATGTCAGTAAGGCTTGAAGCTGGAACAGCACAGCCGTGACAAAGAGAAGGGGAAGAAAAAATAGAGAGAGGAGTAGGAAAAGATTAGCATGGTTAGGGAATGCGAAGTCCTCCCCCCTCTCAGACTCAGTCTCTCTCTCTCTCTCTCTCTCTTTCTCTTTCTCTCGCTCACTTGCTCTTCAGGCTCACCAAGGCCAGGCCAGATCCAGCCCAGACAGTCAGACACTAGTCAGTCAATCAGTCAGTGAGTCTCAGTCTCAGTCACGGTCATGGCCTGTCAGTGGCAGCTCGGGAATGGAGGGCAAAGAGTCCTCCAGCATTAGCCAGCATTAGCCAGCACCAGCCAGCACCAGCCAGCCAGCACTTTAGTTTCTGGTGCTGCTGACTGCGCCCTGTTTGCTCACTTTGCTGCGCTAAAACAGTTGACTGATTGGGGCGGGCGGCGGGGACTGTGTTTTTTTTTAGCGTCTTTTCCAAGATTAGAAGCGACTCCCCGAGAGAAAGAAACTCAAAAGAATAAGGCCCGTATAAAACTTGCTTGGACAACCAGACAGAACAACCATGGTGGATAAGCATCCACTCCTCTGGTCTTGGAAGAGAGAGAAATCCCTGAAGTTGTCTCAGCCATGCTACCACTTTTACGGGTTACAATTTACGAGCTCTTGCTTCTGCTTTGTTGAGAATGGTTTTCCATCCCACTCACTGCGCACAGTACTCCGTCAATCGGGAGTAAGGAAGTGTTGCACAACGATCAAATAAAGTGTACCACCAATACGCTTACATCTTGTTCAGAATTTCAATGCAGTAGATGATCTTAGCAGTAGGTGGAGTACTTTTAATCGTCACAGGTGCTTCGTGGCGCTCCGTTTGCGCTATGCAATGGAATATATATCTTTCCGGGAGAGTGCAGCTCAATTGAGACTATTGAGACAGCACGATGTGTACTATACCCCATGACATCAAGCATTCAATTGTGAAGAAAAGCTGATCTAACTCGCCTGGTGAACTCTTCTGGGGAAATGGTCTATGATTGGCTCGTCCAGGACCATGCTAGCATTGAGCGACTAGACTACCTACAGTACTGTAGCCCTAGATCATGGATATCCTCCATGATAGCGATGACAGGTGGGGACCGGCCAACTAACTCCAAGGCTTTTGGCGGCCAAAACATCCTGTTGTTGTGCCAAAAGTTACTGGCTGCCATGCTAGCTCGAAATTATTGTTCAATTGACTCTTACTGCTTCTATGATCTAGTGTGGACACAATCACATATAAACGAGCTGCCCTGTGGTTTCAATCAAAAATCACACGGTGCAAGATACGAGGGCTCGTCGTGCATCAAGAACGGCGCTGTCGCCGTCTTAAGGAGCTAAGCAGGTGGTAACTAGCGGCCAATTCACCGCTGGTTTGCAGCCCCATTCCTTTGGACCATAAAGTAAGAGAAAGAGAGAGATGTTACTGAGACAACAGTCCAATTTCTTCCAGAGACACTCTCCCTAAAACAGGAAAGTCCCGATGTTCGACAACTCATTAAGCCGAACCCCTGGTCAATAATAGGGGCAGGCAGAAGGACGTTTAAGGAGAAACTGGAGGGAAGGTGGAAAACAATGCAGCTGCCTAGTCGTGCTAACCCGGACATGAATGAGCCCATTGTATTATTGTTATGATTGAGATCCAAAAGTCCCTACTCAGACTCCCAGAGTCTTCTTCTGCACGATGAGGAAAGCTTAGCATTAAATCGTCGCCAGGCAGCGGTACCACGTCGCACTTGTGCTGGACATTCTGTCCTACATTCTTCTCCCACTTGAAGAGCTATGTATGCTTGTCTATCCGAAGCTCGGTACGGAGAGACAGAGGGCTATCTGGCATGGAATCCAAGACCGGAGAGCAGCCTGTGGAGACAAGTAACGTTTCCTCGTTGACTAGGAATCTTTTGTCTTGCAGACTCTGGGACTTTGCAGCAGCATGCGGGAAAATACTGCTCCGATAAACTTCAAGTTGATCTGCCGACAGCTAGGTTACTTACTGACCCTGTCACATATAGACATGATAACACTGGGCAATTCGTGTTGGGACACAATATTGTACGCTGCATAAGGTCGAGAATTGGACAAAAGACACTTGCCAACGTACTCCGTGCTATGCGCTGACATGAGAGACATTGGCCGCCGGAGGAGATGAAAGAGGAAAGCCGGCATGCAAGCCTGAAGCAGTCTCCCTTCCGGTCCTGACCCAGGCAGCTAACCGACTGTCATTCCCAATCGAATTGAATGTGCTTCTAGAAGCCGGGGATCAAATCGAAGTCTGTAACCTGACCGGATATTATTATTGAATGGCAGCTCTGGGGTGGTTAGTCCTGGCTCAGGTTCACATTGTGAATGGCATGACGCTTAGAGTCAGAAAGGTTGGTTTGTCAACTGCGGCCCGAAGAACCCGGGGCCATCGAGAATCATTCACCCAGATCCAGGGGATGGACGGAAACTGAGTAGTTACTTCTTATGGTCACCTAAGTAATTGCTTGCGATCTCCTCGCAGCTGAAGCTCTATGGTCGATACAGTTCAACAGTCTGCCTTGGCTTACAATACGTGCCCATAAGATGCATCTAGACTGAGCAAATAACCACAGGGCAGGGGGATCTTCTGTGCAAGGTTACATTCCTGAGGTACCTAACTATGGACCAGAATATGCCCGTCTTTGAGAAACTGGAGATTCGGCCTGTAATTGTTGATCTATGAAGGGTTTCAAGTACATGGTCGTTGTGCGATCCATCAGCGATGGCTTTATCATCGCTCAATTCCAACTTTGAATTTGATTTGTCGATCACCATCACCCAGCAACGACAAGCCATCATTCGAGATGATCTGCCGAGCAAACGCGGGATATGATTGACAGCAAACAAGAGCATCCCAGGAACCCTCGATGATGGTCTCGTGCCGTTGCGACCAATACAATGGGAGATTGCTGAACGACTGGCGATAAATTGAGAAAATCTGAAGAGGGTTGCGACTAAATTGACTAGTGCGGTCTGAGGACACACTCATGTAAGTATGTTTTGGTAAGCTGGTGCATCAACACCTGCGGTCTTCAGCAATCGATGAGGTTGTTGATGCCTTCGCTGATCCCCATGACTCGTGAGGGACTGTACTGTAGGGTACCTAGCCCTTTGCAGTGGTATTGAGTCGCATTGACCCTGGGATAGTGATGACCACTATCCTAGGTTTATTGAGGTGATTATTCTCTCGAGAGTTCTAACAGGTAAGGGGAGGCAAACATAGTATTGATGCCTGGAGGGTAAAATGGGAGGAGGAACTATCACCATAATTACCTATCCCCGGTCCCCCCCCCCCCCCTCGCAGTGGCAGGCGGGCATTCCCAGGGAAAAATGGGAGGAAATAACGACTTCTTTCAAATAATACTCATAACAATCCTGTAATCGTCCCATCATGGATGGCGGGAGTGCAAGGTTTCGATGAGCGACCCACCCAGAGCCCGACTAAGACCAGACAAGGCAAAGAGCGGTTTCAAGATTTCAGGCTGGGATCAGCCAACGGATGGAATGCATAGCTTTGTGGGGCGGGGGAAAAGCCAACTAAACAGCCCACCACCAGCCCATCATGGATTGGCCCTCAAGCCTCTCTAATCGGTTGCTCTGATAACAGGGGGGGGGCAGTTGATGCTGATTCGGTTTGATTCAACCCCGTCTCACCCCCCCAAGTCCACGTCAGTTTCAACCTGCGGCGGCCAGTAAATTAGTCGACTTCCCTAGACAAGTGGATATGATGGTCATTTACTCCGTACTGATCCTCCTCCTATCCGCCGCATACGTGTACAGCGTCGTGGTCGTGGTGGTGATCGTGGTCGGTGTCGTCGCGTGTCATTTGCGATCTAGGATCAATCTTTCCAGCTCAGGGCTTCTTTCGTCTATTGCCTATGTCGGCAGATCGAAGGGAAGGGGCTGTCGAAAGGATTGCCGCCCGAAGAAGGAAGCGCTTGTTAGCTCCAGTTCAGGTTGGAGCGAGTCAATGAGCGCAGCACTCAGCGCAGCACTCAGCGAACCCCCCATACCGGGAAGATTACCGAAGCATAACAGACAAAACTTATTGACTTACCCGAATAAGGTACAGTACGTACATGACGGAGTGGTACTCTGTAAATTGATATAATATATATGCCAATATGGACCTCCCGTTATGGCCGTGCTGGTTATCACCACGTGATTGACATGCTTATGGCCCGGAAAAATGGGGGAGGGGGCGCTGCTCAAGGTTGTCGGCTAAGTTAAACATACCTATCATCACTAAGTCAAATACCTCCTACTGAAACCACCATCGGTATTAATAGATTCATAGGATATCCGGTACATCGTAGTAGCTTGGTGGGTGAGACCAGCAGATGGTAAGACATCAGGCCGATTTGTCTGCAGGTGAGTGAGTGAGCATTGACTCGAGAGTTTGCGGGGACGCTGGCTGTCGTGGCTCGAGGTTTAGTCAGTTGTGGTTAGATTAAAAGCGCAATCAGTAGAAAATACGGAGTACTCAGCAAGTTACTCCGTACGTTAGTTACTCTGTAGTCTGTAGTCTGTACTCATACGAAGTATTCATTCTCGTAGTGGTAGTAGTGGACATTTGCGGGGGCCGGAGAATGGCCCTTGGGTAGGTACTAGGTAGTAAGTACAGTAACTTAGCTTAGTACTGAATACGTAGTAAACTGCCTTAGGAACTCTTCTGGGCTTCCCCTCCCCCCTCTCAACCCAAATCTAATCCCTCGGTCGCGAGTGAGACTTAATACCACGGGTTCAACCGTCCCCATTGTTTTGTGCCCACATGTTCTTTTCCCTGGTGCTGTTTATGAATTCATTCCCTCTAATCTCTCGGTCTTTCTACTCTCCCCCCAATCCCCCCCCCCTTTCCCTCTTCCTATCGCGCTGTTACTCTTTCCAATCTTCTCTTCTTCTTCTTCTATTTTCTTCCCCTCCTCCTTCCTTACGTGCATCAGGTGTTTCTGTCCCAAATAAGTCGCAAGCAGCTGCTGGATCAGCGCTTGGCAATCTCTCCCTTCCTTAGAGTTCTTATCATCTGTACAGTACAGCCGACGGCGCATCGAGCAACGGTAAGGCGCCTCAATTCGTCTGCACAAGCGTTGTCCGGCATTATATCTAGCCTTCTAATGTAGGTGATTGCCTATTCCCTGCTACCATATCTCTTTTCGCTCGTTTGCGCCCCTCTTCCCCCCTGAGCAGTGCTTTGATAACCTCATCTCTTCTTTGTTCTACTGTCTCCGTTCTGAATGGTGGTTTAATTGGTCTTGGTAGATCGCTTGTCCGCGTCTCCACACCGGTCAACGAAGGCAATCGCGCTTGATTCCCCCTCATTTTCAGGGAACTTCTCTGGTCGCAATTCGAATCCTTGACTTTAGCACTGGTTGACTTCAATTCTTCACTGCAGCTTTTGGATTTCGTCCAGCAGCGCATAACAAACAAACTCGCTGAAACCAAACGTCTTGAGCTTGCCCGCCACCCCCCTCTCGCCCTCGCAGAGTCACTATTTCGTCCGATATACTTTGTCCTCGGCTACCTCACAATTGACTTCAAAGCTTCATCCAAAGTCCCTCCTGTCGATCATCCCCCTGTCCAATCCTCCAAGCAGCGCACGAGCACTTGCAACCTAAGCCTAGGTGGGGGAACACGGACTTGCATCAATTGGCAATGCTGTATAGCAATTCATAGCGAATCAAAGGAATATACCCACAAGAGAACTGGCCAGCATGTCCACAGAGGACCCTTTTGCTTTCCTCGGTGAGGAAACGAAACAAACACCAGGCAAGAAGCCGCATTGGAGGGAGAAGTTGTTTTCCAAGGACAAGAAAGCCAGAGGATCGACAGACCAGCAGATTGAGGCATTCTTGGGACCTACTCGCTCCAAGTCTCTGTCCTACGGCGCAACAGCCACTCAGCGCGAATTGCGGCCGCTGCGTCCTGATGCTGCCAGTCGCTGGCCCTCTGCCCAGGATGTGCTCAATGCCTCGTCCTCAATCACCGCTGCCCACGATGTTACTCCAGTAGCGGACTTCACGAAACCTCCATACAAGAGTCGTCCGCGCAAAGGAGTGAAGGTGAGATTTGCCGATCGGAAGCCCGAAGTCATTGGAGAAGGAGGAGATGAGGTAGAGGTTCCAACAATGGAAATATCCCTGTGTCGGAACAGGGCCCAAAGCTTGGAATCAACTGAGTCAGACAGCCAGTCCGAGCCGGAAGGGCCTCCTCAATTGCGTCTCGATACCTCATTTGGAGCAAATGATGCGCCTACGTCCCGTGAACAACGCCGCGAACATCCTAAGGCGCTGGCACTTGGAACGAGAGCAGAGGACTGGAAGCCGGTTCTCCTCCATAATGCCCAGGATGCAGATTTCTTGATGACTTTGAGTCTGGGAGAAAGAGGTTCGCGGCTGTCATTTCGAGCCTCGCCAGAGTCCAATTCGTTTGCGCAGCGCGTTCGGGCGAAGATGCAAGCTGAGGAGGGTCTTGCTTTGCAACATCGACTTTCAGATCCTATGTCGCCCGGCGATGAGAACGAAACTCAGTCCCCGGCCCTGAGAGTTCCGGATAGCCCTAGCTCGACCTACGAGACGCCTCCGATCTCTGAGACAGAGCCAACCCCCCCAGAAAACCCATTCAAAGACTCCCCAAGTCCTCCCTCGGTCACCCGATCTGTGGCGTCGGAGAGACCTGTTCTTTCTCCGGTTCTGTCCGCAAGTAGCAACATGCAGACACTTTCCTCTCCAATCCGCCAGCCGAATCCTAGTCTACCCGTTCCAGAAGTTGCAAGCCGACCGTCCAGTAGAGACGCGCGAGAGACGTCTCGCAGTCCACAGCCGCCTAAGTTTTCTCTCAAGTCTATTGCTAACCAGTTAGGTGACACTGCTTTCGCAGACTTGAAGGGGTATGTGGTACAATTCCGGGACCCAATTGAGATTGCCGCCGAAAGTGCAAAGCCACTTGTTGGAACCCCGCTCTCAGAATGGATGAGGGCAGCATTGTGGTGGTTTCTGCGTGGGAAGAAGAGACTAGAATCCTATGCGCGATCGCGCCCTTCGAGTTCGAGTTCTGGTGTCCGATCACCCCAGAATCGACCCGCAGAGAGCGCGAAGCAAGCGATCGTCGATCTCGCGAAGGCGTTGTGGATCACCGAGAATATTGTCCCCCAACATGAGGAGCTGGCTCGATACGGTTCAATGAGCGTGGACGCTCTGCTTGCCGTGGCGAGTACGACTGGCAACAAGGAGCTGGCAGATCTTCTAAGCCTGAGTCAAACCATATCGAATCATCTGCGGTCGTTGGCGATGTCTATCAAGAGGAACAATATTCTCATGACTCTCGCGCAGGAACGTTCTCCGAGTGACATCGATAGCACCGTCTGGGTTCAGTATCCTGCCTTTGCGCCCGACGTTGCTGCGATTTTATCGGGAACAGCGACGAAGTCTCTCCTAGCTGATACCTCTGGGAAAGCACACAGCTTCGTGCAGATGATGCCACTTGGCGATACCAACCGCTACTTCAGCTATGGAAGTATGTTTGTTGACGTCTGTATCACATCGAGCGACGATGATGACAAGCAACATTCTATACCATGCGCTCTGTCCATAATCCGGGACAGGGCTGACTGGTACGTTTTTGCAGCCATAACTAGCCAGAGCGATCTGGTCAATATCGTGATACAATCAGATAAGAAGAACGGTCCTACGTGGGAAAGTGTCAATTGGCACGTCCGGTCACACTCAATGCGCGTTAAGCTTCCACGCGGCTTTGAGTTACATGTTCAATTCCAGGAAGAGGATTTTAAGAACATCTGGAACATTGTTCAGTACACATCCAAGACCGAAGCGAGTCTCAAGCCAGAGAAAAACGAGACACTAGTCTACGAGAACACCCTTAGGACTTTCCGATACATTGACTCTGTAACTCCCAAAGCCTTCCCTTCCGAGCCTGTGGAGAGATGTCGTATACGCCTCTTCGAGAGAACTGTGCCGTTAACTGAGGGCACGGGTCAGCGTATGCAGCACCAGGGCTTCCGGATAGCGATACTCACCAGTCCAAAAGTCAAGACTCTGAGCAGTGTGCGTCACGTTCTCGGAAATGGCGCCCCAATAGTCTTCGGCCTTCTCCGTGGTGACGATGGGGCACCAGCTCTTCTTTTGAAAGTCAAGGAGGATGGTAGAACCAGGTCTATGCTGATGGCATTCGAAGAGCTCGAAGAGCGAACAATGTTGCACTCCCTCCTGTTGGGAATACTTCCGCAGGAGCGAGAAGCGAAATCACCGGATATCGCTATTCGGGCCTTTACACTTGAGCAGCCCGCGGATCGAGCTTCAGGAAAACCCGCCAAGGAACATATCCAATTCCCCGCTGGCACGATCTCGATCATAGATGAGCAGTACACACGACCGGATCATGGTTATGGCCCTACCGTTCTTTCGGAACATTTGCGTGCCTTCGTCGCGACGGAATGGGGCTCGGTTACAGACCGTCTCAATCTCGGTATGTATGTGGATTCGATGAACTGGTAACATGACTGACGTATTGCAGGCCCTGGTGAGTTGAAGCTTGGCCTTGATGTCAACAATCGAACAGGCCTTAGCCTATATCGACCGGGCCAGAAAGATCTTACTGTTTCTGTTGCGGAGAACATGGTCATTCCCGAGATGCCTGATAAATTGACCGATTCTATTTCAAAGATCATGGCAAACCCGACGATTCGACGCTTCGACTTTGCAACCGTGCAAGGTACGGTTGCTATACTCCTGGCCGCATGAACACCAATTAACCGCTATTTTAGATCTGCACACATTTCAACAGGCCGTGACTGGGTTCAAGGTGCTTTTTGATAGGTAGGTTTCCTGGGGGATTTTCTCTCTCTCTTCTTCTGAAGCTGACGGGTAATAGTGTGGCCTCATCCTTCGCCATATCACGGCGTCGTATGGTAGTTCCCATCACTAAAAAATGGGAATCGAGCCTCGCCCGGGTCCAGGTTATCCGTCGGGATAGAGTCGTGCAACTTGTGGCCTTCCTGAGCGATTTCCAGTACGGCAGGTGCATGAACTTTGTTCTAAAGGGCACAGACACTCTCGAGTCATTCGGCAAAACCGGCAAATTCGGCGTTCGCATTGTCGATGCTAAATTTGCGTTGCCGAAATCCGACGACGATCCCGCCTCCAACTTTGTATCTCTGGATACACCAGATTACCCAATGGAGCATGATGATATCTCGATTGCCTTCGACTCTGAAGCAGGTATGTAGTCACTCTTTCACTTCTACTGTTTGATTCCTGCTTGTCTAGGTGTCTAATCCGCTGGGGGTGTTAATGTAGACCGGACCAATTTCCAAGCCGCTGTTCCAGGCTCCGTCCGTGAACCATCGCGGATGGGCTCCCTTCGCCGATAATCCATAATCCATAAGCCCGACAGTTCCTCCCCACTCAAACCCGAGATAAACTCCTTTTGTTTCCAACCTCTTATCTGGTGTCGGAACCGCGTAATGTCACGCCATCTCAGCTCCACCCCGCATCAGTCACGTGTCGACTCACCGCCATGGAGCAGCTCTTTTCCTTTCCCCCACTTTTGTTTCATGTCGCCGGCAGGGCGTGCCGCAGTCCCCGGCTTTGACTTGCCCCCGTCTCTTCCCCAAACCGCCCTTTTCATCCTTATTCTCCGTTATCAAATCAGCTCCTGTGTGACATAGCACAAAATACTCTGCTAGGACTGTTCTTGCTACTTCTCGCTGAAAGGAAAAGCACAAGATGGCTCCTGCAAATCGAGAAATGGGAACTTCCACGCGCTCACTTCATGCGGATGATGCGCTAAATGTGGTTTCAGACGTTGCTCCTCCAATTCACGTTGCCACTACTTTCCGGTACTCCAATAACCCCGACGATCTCGTGCCATTCGCAGACCTTACAGACGACGTATGTCTTGAGCTACCCATATTGATCGCTCTGGGCGCTTCTAACAGTCATGCCGCAATATAGAACGAGCGAGACAAAACAGCACACATTTACTCCAGATTGTCGGCTCCCAATTCTACGCGCTTTGAAGCCATTCTCTCATCCCTTCTTAATGGCGAGGCCATCAGCTACTCTTCAGGGTTGTCAGCCCTACATGCTGCGCTAACGCTGCTCAACCCTCGTCGTATCGCGATCGGAAATGGCTACCATGGGTGTCACGGTGTGATCGCACTTTTCAGCCGCGTAACTGGACTCCAGAAACTGGACCTCGACTGTCCCGCGGAGAAATTGGAAGCGGGCGATGTAATCCACTTGGAAACGCCGGTGAATCCCGAGGGAACCGCATTCAATATCGAAGCATACGCCAAGAAGGCGCACTCGCGGGGGGCATACCTTATTGTTGACGCTACGTTTGCACCTCCGTTCCTCCAAGATCCGTTCAAGTGGGGCGCCGATCTGGTCTTGCATTCGGGATCCAAATATTTTGGGGGCCACAGCGATGTTCTATGCGGTGTGCTTGCCACTCAGCGCGAAGATTGGGCCAAGCAACTACTGCAGGACCGAATCTTCCTGGGTAGCGTTATGGGGAATATGGAGAGCTGGCTGGGTGTGAGGAGTCTGCGGACTCTTGAAGTGCGGGTTCAACGCCAGAGCGAGAACGCAGCCAAGCTTGTTTCGTGGCTACATCAAGCACTTTCCGCCCAGAATCCTGCTTCTGGTAGTGACGAGGCTTTGGTCCAGGCAGCTCTTGACAGTGTGCTTCACGCGAGTCTGCAGAAGGAAGATGAGTCGTGGTTGTCGAAGCAGATGCCTAATGGATTTGGACCTGTATTTTCGATTATTACGAAGACGGAAGATTACGCTCGCAAACTCCCTAGTAAGCTTGCTTTCTTCCAACATGCTACTAGCCTGGGAGGAGTTGAAACGCTTATTGAATGGCGGACTATGTCGGATACAACAGTCGATCGCCGGCTGCTGCGGATTAGTGTTGGTTTGGAGAATTGGGAGGATCTTCGCCAGGATTTGGTGACTGCATTCAAAGCTCTAACTGAGAGCAACTAGATTGTGCGATAAGAATAGACAATAATCATTACGATCAGTATAGGTTTGTGTAAGGAATACGAGGGTGCGCAGTGCGCACTGTGTAGTGAGCGTAGAGTGGGGCTGCTTATCGCCGCCTCCTTCTGCCGCGGTTCTTCTTATCTCTCTCTCTCTTTCTACAATCAACTCGCACATTGATCTGACAACATCATCTCTGGCCCGTGCAAACGATACTCAACCCTAGCAGCTCCTCACTCGAGCCTAGTGAGCCACCTCTTCCTTCTCTCAAGCCAGAAAACTATCCCTCTTCCTTTCTCAAAACCAACCTCAACCTCATACCCGCCCCTCCACCATACACATTGAGATAAAAGAAACGGACCACTAGCAGCAATGTCAACCTTCCAGATCCACTACTTCGCCTCGGCCACCAGCTACACCGGCAAGCAGACGGAGCGTCTGCCCGCCCCCTTACCCCTCGATCAATTATTCCCGCTCCTGGAGGCGCGGTACCCCGGCATCACGGCGGCGGTCCTCCGCAGCTGCGGCGTCAGCGTGCGCGAGGAGTACGTCGACGTTGATGGCGAGGATGCCCGGACGGTAGTCATTGGGGCTGGTGATGAGGTCGCGGTCATTCCGCCGGTTAGTTCGGGGTGAATCTTGGGGTAAGTCTGAGGATTGTTGGATTCGGGATTGTTACTTATGGCTGATATAGATTGTTTTTAGGTTGGGTTGCACTAGATTATCTTGGTAACAGTATATATGATGCGGGGGTGGGTGGGAGTACTAGCAGGAGTATTAAGGCTGAAAGAAAATATCGAAAACAGAATTGAAAGTACATCACTGGAAGCACCACTGAACAAAAGAAAGACAAAAGGGAAGGGGCAGGAGGGAGGTCCAAACGACAAACCTGAGAACACAAATGAGACATAGGAAGAGAGGTCTCCGGTTGTGGTACAGTACATACAAACAAGCGTTTCTCCTCATCAGCATATCAGTGATCCATTACTCCGAGCAGCAAGTCAGCATTACTCATCCTTTCATTATGCCATCACTCCATTTTCTGGCAGCATCACCTCTGACCTTCACCTTCGTTTCTCTTCACCCCTCCAACTTCTCCACCCCGGCCGTCTTCTTCTGTCGCCAGAGGACGATCCCGCAGATTGCGGAGAAGAAGAACATGATACTATCCATATCCACCATCACGAACGGTTAGCCCAAGCCCATCCTTATCCAAACGAAACGAAGCGGAAGCAAAACAAACGCACCATAACGCAATACTCAGCCCCCAAATCGACTTGGCCTCCAAGCACACGGCCTTCGTCGCCCCGATCCAATTGGTGTAGTTGACTTTACCATCCAGATGGTCGAGGTAACTGCTCAGATGCGTGGCGAAGGTGTATGCCGACGAGTCGTTGCTGCTACTGCTCCCGATCTTGGTGCATTGCAGGTACGAGAGCGGTTTGCCCAGGATGACGGCCACCACGATCACGGCGATGAGGATCAGCGTGTCCAGCACGGCGGCGGCCAGGAAGGGGAGGATGTTGTCGTAGTAGAGGATTGTGGTGATTAGGGCGTAGATTACGGCGATGCTTGTCTTTTTTTGGGTTCATTAGTTCTGGGGAAACTTGGGGAAAGGGGAGAGGGGGTCAAGGGAAAGGGAAAGCAAACTGACTACTGTGATGGTGCCGATGAAGATGGCCGGGGGTGTGGCGTTGTTGGACACGATCTCCGAGATGAAGTTGGCTGTGAGGCCGATGATGGTGATCAGGCTGCACATTTGGATCAGGCGCGCGATGAGGAAGGTTGCGCCTAGGAGACCGTAGGGGGGCATTTTGGCTGGTGGTGGTTGTTGTTGTTGTTGTTGTTGTTGTATGAATGTGGGTGTGCTTGGGTTTGTGTGTGTGCTCGAGGTTGCGAGGATAAGGTCGGTTTGGGTTGGGGGTTTGGGTTGGACTATGATTATAAGATAATTGAAGCTTGAAGCGAAGGAGTGTATATGTTATATAAATGCAATCCAGACAAAGGAGAGAAAATATGATAAAAAGGAAGGTAAATGGCAAGGAGGGTGTGAGATACTCTTAGACTTGTTGACTCAACTTGAGGAGTATCCAGTTGAGACAACGAGACCTTAAATACATCTCCCCATCTTGTCTCATCCTGATTCCATTTAGCAACCATCGAAATAGAGAAGCTCAGGTCTAGACCAACATACCACACTGAGCCTCTCATTGCCCCCTTCTGCAGCGCCAATGGTCGACTTGCATGGGTCCAGTCTAATGCTCAGCCGAGAAGCGAGCGCTTACAATCTCGATTGGCATCCACCCTGGCGCGTAGCGATCTCCCTTCCCCGGGACAGCCGGCCACTCCTAGCCAACAGCCACCAGAGCTTATTTCGACCTGAGACAGCCGTCTGTCAAGGACTGGCGCTCGGGAAGGTAGCTTTGTTATGGGTCCTTTGCCCTGGTGAAGCGTTTCCCTGGTCGATTTGCACGCATGGGCCCTAGCCCTTGGCTTGGAATCAGCTACACTGGATCAGAACTGTCTGTCAGATCTTATTATAGATGCAGACACACGGAAGCGTCTGCATGCAGATCTGCGTCTCCAGATCCCTGGACATCGAGCCGCTCTCCCGCGCTCTCTATATTAAGCATGGGGATCAGACCCTGGCCCTGCGTAGATGAGGCGTTTTCGGGGACTGGCTGTTGTTGGTGGTAGTTTAATTCGATTGACGCTAGACTTGTACAGTACATTGGTTCCGCTTTCGCACGAGCCTTTTCCTCACGATGAGAGGGTCATCTCGCTATACTTGCACCGTGTGCACGCGCTGGGGTTGTCGGTGGGCGTTGGCCCGTCCGTATAGCACGTCTTCTGAAACCGCTGTGGCTATGTCAATGCAGATGGTGCGGTGGATGCTTAATGACCTGCTCTAGGCAATGGCCCATGCTGTTTACAGCCACTATTCCGGTGGTACGTTGATACGTATCTGGTGCAGGTAGAACGAGCCACCAGCCATCGGTGGCGGTTGGGCCACTCAATCGCCCGCAATTGCCTTCATCGGAGGCTGTCCGAGGCGATATTGCATACGGCTTGACTGATATGTCCTCAAGCACGAGCCCGGTCTCTTCTGCCGGTAGCGCGCAAGTTATGTGCTCGTTGCACTCTTCGTGTCAAGACCGCCTTGGGATGCCAATCTATGGCATTGGTCTATGTTAGTCGACTCATGTTTCGCAAAGAGTGAGGCAGGCAAGACGAAAAGGTCTCTAGTAAATGAGATTATGGTAACTCAGGTCTTCGTATCCAACAGTCAACAATTTGGGCAAAGTATTCTTCGTTTCATCGAAGCAGGAGACTAGCATGCAATTGACTTCGACTGGCGTTCAAATCATACTGTATGTTATTTGGCACTGATAATGGGAATGTAGTAAGCATACAGAAGCAAGGCAAAGAGAGAGCTCGATCTCGAAGAAGATTATCAAAGAATAGATCCCACTCGACTTTTTCTGTCCTTTTGACAGATGACAGTATACTCACATGGATGTATTGGAAACAACTATAAACTAACTAATCATTGATGGCAAACAGTTTGACCGCCCAGGCGGTGAGTGGCAAATGCCGGCACTATCAGTGGATTTTTTGGCGTCGGGGATTTGCCGCCGTGCGCTCTTTCCCTCCTCCTGCCTCTCAGACCTACACCTGCTCTGCGATTGTTGGGCATGTATGATGGGTGCTCCAGAATGCCCTTGCTACTCTCCAAGGCGAGAGTCCCGCACAGAGTGGCTGGTGTGAATCGCTATGCCTCCAACCTGAAGCTTGTCCGGACCTGCGGGATCGCAGCATCGCGTGTCTCCCCGAGATCAAGTCTCAGCAATGCCACTAAAGATTATCTTCTCTCGCAACGGCGACAGTTCAGTATAGGATCTAAGGTAAAACATCCCTCTGAATGCCTTGTATTCTCCGGTGACTAACCATTGGTTGTATAGTGTCTCTCCGCTCAAGACAATGAACCGTCCAAGCCGACGCCTTCAAGCCAAGACGACGACCTGCTGCAATCGGCTACTTCACTCGAGAATCTTCGGCTGCGACTCGAATTCGAGAAGTACGGAAATGTTCGAGACTATCTGCAGAAATGGCAGGACAGCCAGGATAATTCGGCGGACCCTGTCCGAGGGCCTGGCACCGCGAACAAGATGCTCGCGACCGATGCCTGGAGGGGGAACATGCTGAACGACAACCGTGAAGCTATGGATGCAGGATTCGATGTCATGCGAGCGTCAGATGATGACGCGGAGCTCCTTAACAGAGACGATGAAGGCGCTGGCCTGAATCACTATCTGGAGCCAGGTGACCTTGTGGCCATGTCAGCGTAAGTGAGCTCCAAAGGCTCTTGAAATATGCAATAACCTTGCTGACGTCTCCCCTCCCACCGCACAGATCTGATGGGGTTCTTTCTTACGCAATCTACGTTCGCTCTATTGCCAAACAGCAGCAAGTTTACACGGACAAAGGTAAATGGCGCATCGCTTTCAAGAGGGACATTGAGTACGTTGTGAAGGGATTCGTGCCGCGGGAAACGGTGGCGCCCCTGCTGCCTCACTTCCCTGCAGGGCTTGCTGAGATGAGTAGTGAATTCCAGTCCGCCATCGAGGGCGGAGTTCCCAGGCATGCAGGAGCTCATCTCATGAAGAAGATTCAAGAGTTCGACTTGGGCGTGCGGGAAATCTACCGCAACAACGCGCTACGGTTGGACAATCTCCACGCTCTGGTGGCGGACGAAGAATCGAATCTGGTATATACCCTCGAGGAACTGGCCTGCAAGGCTCTGGAAATCGAAGAGGACCAGTTGGATGCAACGTTACTTTTCCTCATTCATCAGTGCGTCCACGAGAATTCGTTCCTGATCGACCATGACATGAGCTCTCTATTCGCCAACCGTTACCTAGTCAGACCTCTACGTGTTGCCAAGGTGATCAATACCGTCTGCACTTGGGTGCATGAGCACCAAGATTATATTGTCAACTCAGCCCGTGGCAAGGACACCCCCTATATCCGCAACCATCCTCTGCAGCAGTTTCTCCTAAAGGCCCAGCGTCTCATTCGGCAGAGTCGGACTGTGCGATCCCCAACCACCGTGTCATGCGTGGGCCCAAGCGCTGTACGAGTCGAGCCTAAAGAGAACGCTAGCCCTGCGATATACCGTGAGGTTCTCACTGAGCAGTTCAACGACGATGATCGTGCCATCATAGAATACTTGCAGCATTGGTGCCTGCCTCCTCGGCGAATGACGAGAGGTCATATGCGGTCCGCGGGGTCGCATATCATGCGCAGCACCGGCATGTACAGCGTGGTGGATTTGGGCCCCGAGACAGCCACGCTCTTCTTGCAGGAGCTGGGTGTATTCCACCCATGGGAGAACACACGTCTTCTCGATCATCGGCTTGCGCTTCCCGGGCACGGGATCTTTCCCGAACATGATAAGCTATGGGCTAAAGTAGCCGAAGAGGCCCAATTGCTCGCGGACAAGAGTCAACTCGAAGATTCCATGAAGGATTTGCGGGTTGATTGGGGTGATTTGAAAGTTTACTGTGTTGACGACACCAAGGCACAGGAGATTGACGACGGTGTCTCGCTCGAGCGCATCCCAGGATCAGACGACAATTTTTGGATTCATATCCATGTTGCAAACCCCACGGCATTCATGGGTCACGAATCGAGCATCATGAAGTGGGCCGCCTCTCAAGCCGAGAGTCTCTACGTCCCTGAGCGTACTTATCCCATGATTCCTGAGTCCGTGACGCAAAAGCACTTCAGTTTGGGCCCGGGCCGTCCCACGCTCACATTCAGCGCCAAGATGAATCTTCAGGGCGATGTTCTGGACACCAAGGTTGCAAATGGTACGGTTCGGAATGTGACATACATAACCCATGACCGACTACGCCGCGTCTTCAAGCCAGACACCGGAGCCACCGATAGCACCAGGGCCCTATCCGTGGGAGGAGAAGTTCCCGAGCGAATCGCCGGTCGTAGGGGTATCACAGAGACGCTTACTCCTGAAGACGAGGAAACCTTCCACATTCTCCGTCAATTGATGGCGGGCTGGCGTGAACATCGTCGTCAAAATGGAATGCTGGAATTCACCTACCCGCCCCGAGTTTCCGTTTCCATGTCCGTTGGCTCCGTTGCTCTGCCGCCCCGGAAGCTGGGAGCTACCGAAGGCCGGTATGTCCTGGGCGACCCGGTGATCAAACTCCGCCAACACGAAATCGACCTGCAGGAGGTCCGCGACGATACCACCGACAACTTGATCTCTCTCCTCATGAACCTGGGCTGCTGGGTTTCCGCCTCCTGGCTGTCGTCGCGCAACATCCCTGCCGTCTACGACGGCACCCAGTACCACCCGGAGTATCGCAAGGTCACGCGGGAGAACATGGAACGAATCACCGGCCAGGAATGGCTGAACATGGCCGCCCCCACGGGCGTCTCGCTCTCCCGCCCCATCCCGCACGTCTCGCTTGGCCTCGACGCGTACGTCAAGTCCACCAGCCCGCTCCGTCGCTACATCGACGTGGTGGCCCACTACCAGATCGAGGCGGCGCTGCGATTCGAGCACGCCCACAACCGTCGTTTCGACGCCGCCGCCGCATCCGAGCCCGAAGACCGCTCCGTCCTCCCCTTCTCCGCGGCCGATGTGGACCGTTGGCTCGCGCGGTCCCTGTCGTCGCGCCTTCGGCTGCGCGAGTGCGAGCGCGGCTCCAGGCAGTTCTGGGCGTGTCTGCTGTTCTTCCGCGCGTTCTACTTCGCCGAATGCCCGCTGCCGGCGACCTTCGAGTGCCAGATCAGCAAGCGCTTTGACCAGGCGGATATGACCGGCGCGGCCTACACCAATGGCTGGGCCGGCATCCTCTACGCCTTCGGCGTCCGGTGTCAGATCCTCGTACCCCCCCGCATGCCGGACGCGGACAAAGTGGATGTCATGAGTATGGTGGAGGCCAAGGTCACGCGTGTCGATATGGCTCGGATGCTAGTCGTCATGGAGGCGACCCGGTTCCTCCGTGGCTCGCCTGCGCAGTTGACTTTGGCGGCGTATAGACCTTCCATGGCTTAACCGAATGTGTGGGAGTGTGTACAGGGCAGTACAGTCTGGGTTCTGGGTGTATATTGTTCTATGCCGTTGTGCAACCATGTAACATACATAGTATATCATCTCTATCTCTTGTCTTAGCGAAGTCTGCACACCTGTCTTTTGAAAGTACTCTGTAGGTGTAGTTGCGTAGGAGACATCCAGAGGCTGGATGACATTCTATAGCAGTCGACCACTTAGAAACTCGATCCAGTGACATTCCTTGCATATTCAAGTATATTCAGACGTGAGCCTCACATATGGTCAGGGAGAATATACAGCAAAAGAAAAAAAACAATCCGATCTACCGCAACTCAAACACCAAACACCTCCTTGACGAGCGTCTTCTTATTGACTGCACCAGAATTAGCAACCGTCTAGAGAGACACGGAAACAGAGAGAACCGAAGATCATACCTTTGCCCATGGCATTCCGCGGAATCGGTCCACTCAGGACCTTCATCTCCTGCGGCAACTTATAATTCGCCAACCGATCCTTCAGGGCGCGCCGCATGTCCATGGCGCCCCAGGGCTTGCCGTTCCGGCCCCCCGCGTTCGCGGCCTCCGGGTTCAGCACCACCACGGCCGCGACCTTCTGGCCCCATTGTTCGGAGGGGAGACCCACGACCGCTGCTTCTGCGATTTGGGGACTGCGCGCGCAGATACGGGGTTAGCTGGGGGATGATGGAGGGTAAAGTCTCAAACCGGGTGAGTAGTGGGCAATACGTACAGCGAAAGCAACTCGCGCTCGACTTCCAGGGCGCTGACTTTCTCGCCGCCGGTCTTGATGATGTCGACGCTGCGGCGGCCCTGGATGAAGTACATGGGGCCGCGGGCCCAGTCGCCACTGGCGCCGGTGCCGGCGCCCTCGACGACGCGGCGGGTCGCGACATCGCCGGTCTTGAACCAGTTGTCGCCCTTGCCCTGTCCGTTTTCGGCTGCGACGAACGACTCGCGCGTGGCGGCGGGATTGGCCCAATACTCCTGGAAGATGGTGGGCCCGCGGAGCTGGATCTCGCCCTCGCGCTCGCGGCCGGTGCGCGGGTCGACTTCCTGCCCCGGGAGGATGACCGCGTCGGTGTCGGTGTCGACCAGCCGCGCCTCCACGGACGGCAGCGGCCAGCCGACGCTGCCGTCGACGCGGTCGCCGACGGCCAGCCCGCAGCTGATCGCCATCCCGACCTCGGTCATGCCGTAGCGCTCGAGCAGCACGTTGCCGTGGCTGAGGGCCTGCCACGCCTGCTTCGTGGGCGTCGGCAGCGCCGCGGACCCGGAGATGTTCAGGCGCAGGTGCGCGGGGCTGATGGCCGTGCGGGCGGCGGTCTGGATCTCCGGGGTCAGGGTGGGGAAGGACGCGAGCAGCCGGTTGTAGATGGTCGGGACGGCCGTCAGGAAGGTGATTTTGTTTCTGGTGGACGGCGACTGGGACTCCGGGAGGAACGGCGCGGCGAGGCGCTTCCACACTGCGTCCGTGTTGAATGGGAACATGAACTCGATGGACGAGCCGGCCAGCACCGGGGTCACGATCGCGTTGACCGTGCCGTGGATGTGGTGCAGGGGCAGGAGGTGCAGCAGCCGGTCCTGTGGGGTGTACTCCCACGCCTGCAGGAGCGACGCGGCTTGCGCCGTCAGCGCGGATTGCGGAATCAAGACGCCTTTCTGCGCGGGTGTCAGCACTGTCTCTTACTTTCTTCGGGAGGCGAAAAGGAAAGGATATGTTACCGGTCGATTCGTGGTCCCGGAGGTGTACAGCATCATTCCCCCGCGGGGTTGCTGTCCCGTGGGTTGATCATCCAAGGTCACCGACGAGGAGCCCAGACTCGTGGCCCCCACTTCGATCTTCTTCCTCACGTCAAGTAGGGGTGCTCGGTCCAGTCCGGCCTTCAGGACGTCGTGTGCCTTGTTGGCGTACTTCTCCGTGGCCAGCAGGACCTTGGCCTGGGAATTGTCCATGATGTACTTGAGCTCGCCGACCGGGAAAGCGGGGGAGAGGGGGAGGGCGATCGCGTCGCTGGCGAGGATCGAGAGAAGCGTCACTGCCATCGTCTGTCAGTTCAAGGCCCTACTCTCAAAGTATGCGGAGAGGAACAGGACAAGCCGAACAGTACCTACGTAGTCGTAGCTGTTCTCCGCCAGGAAAGCCACCCTCTCCCCGCACAAACTATCATGACGCCCTCCTCCCGACTGTATCAGTTTCTCCTTCGCCTGTAGGACGTCGGCGACCAGGTTGCCGTACGTGAAGGAGCGAGACGATGCGCTGTGGACGACCGCCAGGTTGGATTGGTCGTGGTTCTGGAGGGCGCGGAAGAGAGGCAGGTTCGGCAACGAGGCGAGCGATCGACGGTTTGCTGGTGTCAGGTACGCTCGAGAGCGAGCATGGCGGACCAGACGGGCAGAGGCGATTGAGCCCCGTGACAGGACTGATATCAATGGGCGGCCTGGCATAATGAAGCTCGGAAAAGCATGCGGTGCATGTTCAGCAGTCTGCTCTTGAGAAATCACGAACTGATGTCATTTTGAGAAGAGCTCCCGCGGAGGTTGGCGGAGAGTCGGCGGTTTCGGCGCAGCGATAAGGCCCTTGGCTCCGATTATCGGCTGTTCCCCATGTCTGGAGCTTCGTCCGGGGAAGAGATCACGTGAGTCGATCTGGAAGTATAAAACGGTCGAATCTTCCATGTATTGTAGATCATTGCGCGTCCCAAGCCTTCTACGAGGATCTACCAGGGAGAGAAGATACCCCTTGCTGGGTTATATTTATACCAAGCTCCAATCTATCAAGAGCAGGGGGGCAGGGGGAATATACTCTAGCGGTTGCCGTCTCACCTCGACATCAAGGTGCACTAAAGGATTCCTGAACACAGAACCACGCCGCTTTCCCCTGCACTTTTGGTCAGCGGATCGAGTCCGGGTCATTTCTTGGTCTTTTTTCTTTCTGTCTCTTCTTGAGACATCATTTGCAGGTAGGTCAAGTGGGCTGCGGTGAATGGAGGGCGAAGAATAGGGTGTTACGGGAAGGTGGATATTAAACCCACAAGATGAACCAAGAGTGCTTTCCTTGCTCGTGGTGATGGAGAAGTCGAGGGGAAAGTTGCCCTCCACTGGAAGAAGATTGATGAATCCGAAGAGAAGAGGCTGGAAGTGCGTCAGGATTACATACATCAATGCGGGTGGGTGGGCTCGCAGGTGTATGACACCAGAGCAAGAAATTTGAACACGGTCTTGGAGATATCACTACAGTTAAAATGCCACCCTACCTAGGGGTGTCGGTATCGTATCTTATCTCGAACGGTGGTTTCACCAACAGTAGTAGAGGCCGTCTGCCTTGCTGTAACAGAGGGCAACCAGGAGAATGAAGCCGAATTGAATTGCCTGCTGCACACTTCCGGAATCTTATATAAGGCTATACTTCATAGCTTGAGGCATGAGATGGGTGTGGCATTACATCCACCCAACCACAGTTTTGGCTCGCTGTCAGCGTGTCAGGTGAGATTGCATAAAAGCAAATGGTTCGCCACACCAGAGCTCATCAGCCTGATAAACAGGTTTGATCTTGGGGCATGCTGTACAGCAGCGTGCATCTTCTTAAGTGCTCACAGACACATTTCTCTCTATAGAACCGAAGGCCTTGCAATCATGACCGATGGCTATTTACAGCCTGACGCTGCATCACTGGCGTATTGCCAGCCTAGCCTGTCTGTAGCAGCAAATTCAGAAACGCCGATATACCTGCTAAATCCAGGCTTTGACGGCAAGTCTGGCCATGCTCGTTCTGGAATGCTTGCTGCCGGAAGGCTGGCGGTGCGAGTGTGCTCGATGCATGACTGTCAACGAGGTTAGCAGCGCATCTGATAGTCAACGGTGTAGTGGAGATAGTCAACGAAAACAGGATACGAAAGACAAACAGTGTAGACCACCGTTCCACTGTAGGACTTCATTGCCTTGGGATCTGGAGCCTAACAAATCTCAGTGACGCAGTCTTCACCATTTGCTTTGTTAAGTCAATTTAAATCAGTCGATGTGGTTGATTCGACCATTGACTTGTTATAGATCTGGTACGACGCAGAGTGCTGCAGGTGTACAATAATATAAAGTCCGCGGAGGCACTGCAGCACCCCACTAATCCCCAAAGGGCCATCCATCGGCCCGCAGTGCCAGGTGCCCCAGCCAATCGCCGCCATCGGATTCTCAGCGACCTGGATGAGATGGATTAACTCCCATCCCGCTCCAATTAAACCCTCCGCTCGACACAACAACCTCCTCATAACGTTAGATATCTACAACATCCACTCCGCCCTCTCATCCGATCAACCCTCCCTATCTGAAGCAATCCGAATCCCCCGGCTTACCACAACCGCACCCTCACCACCTCCCCATCCAACAGAACAATAAACCAATCAATGCTTCAAGTTCTCCGTACCACCCGCCTCCCAGGCCTCCTCCTCCGATCTACCAGCAGCAACCGGCACTTATTCTCCACCAGCACCTCCAAAATGACCACCACCACCACCACCACCCCAGTCGAAGACCTCATCCGCGAAAAGGTGCGCGCAATCACCCGGCCCCCCAAACTCCCACCCACCTCCAATCCCAATCCCACCCTCAACTCCCAAACCCAAACCCCAAACCCCAAACCCCATAAAAACCAACCAACTAACCCATCCCACCCAGCTAACAACAACCTTCACGCCCACGACCCTCCTCATCCGCAACGACTCGCACAAACACGCCCACCACGCGCCCATGCGCGACTCCACCTCCAAGGAAACCCATTTCCAGTGCGTCCGACCCCATCCCCCCATAACCCATCCCCCGGGCCCAACCTAGCCCAGCCCAACCCAACCCAATCCAATCCAATCCAAACACCGTTCCGTTCCGGGGGAGAACCCCCGGACCCCCCTTCTTTTCAACGTTCTGGTCCCCCTCGGGACTTCGAACAGCGCCCAGATCCCAGTCCCCAACTTCCCAAGACCCGAGACTGATGTGAACGTCAATACCAGCGTAACGATCACCTCCTCGGCCTTCGCCGCGAAACCCCAGCCCGCGCGACACCGGATGGTCTATAGTCTCCTTAAGGAGGAGATGAGTCGCGAGGGCGGGATCCATGCGCTGCAGTTGCGGACGAAGACGCCGGAGGAGGAGGG